TCCCGTGGCTGCTGTTTTTTGTGCTTTGCTGTTACTGGAGACAGGGCCCCGGGTTAGATGGACCTTGGCCCAACCCAGGGAAGCCAGTCTGAGGTTTGACTCCTGCCTCTCCCCGGAGTAACCTCCAAACCCTTCCCCTGTGGTCAGCTCCAGGCTCAGCTCCAGAAAGGCAATGGGGAGAGAGACAGCTCAGCACAGGAGCATGAAGAAATCAGGGGCCATAAAAAATCAGAGGCCAGAAATGAGAGGCCAGGAGCTGCAGAGCTGCCCTCATCCCATCTCCAGCTGGAAGAAGCCTTTGAGACAGACTGGCCATGATCTGCAAGCGATGTGGTAAACCATAACCTCGGCGGGACCTCTGGCTCTCCTTGACCAGGCGGATGTGGCCGGGCACCGTTCCTGACCTGCTGGGAAACCGCAGCAAAGTGGCAGCACCCTGGCTGCAGCAGACACGGTGCCAACCCAGAATCACATTTCCTGTTAATATTAAACAGCACATGGTGGTGATACCCCCTTCCAGAGGGTCTCTAAAACTCACTTGTTTGCTGTCTTTGCTCCCCTGGATCGCACGGGAGACCTGCAGCTGGAGATGGGACCTGCACCCAGCCTGGGGGGATGAGGAAAAGGTCCCCAGCTCCCCTAGGAGATGCTGGTGGGAGAAGAGAAGGGCACGGATCTGGGGACAGCAGGGCTCCTGGGATCAGTGGGTTTGCTAGCTCATACACCTTTCCCTCCTTTGTTCACTCTTGCTATGTATTTTCAACATGAAAAAATCCCTCCACAGAGGAAGAGCCAGAAACCTCCCCCTGCACAACTGCTGCTGGCAAAATCCTCCTCGTGAGAGCTGTCTCAGCCTCAAAAGCCAGGGAGAGGCATTAAATCAGCACAGGGCATCCCAACACCCTCTTCCCTCGCTTGCTTTCCGCATCCGCATGGCGCTCGGGAGGCAGCAGGATCCAAAGCATCTCCCGCGGGAGAGGAATGCAGCAGCCTGGAGTGCCGGGACGGGGGGACCAGTCCCCTCCCGCCACCGCCAAAGCCCGGAATTCTTAGACCTGAAGGAGTCACCACTAAATTCCATTCAACTGACAGCAAAGAAATCAAATCCTTTTAAAGAGAGCCCACTTTCCCCGCAAGAATGCTCCCGCGGCCTTTTGTTGCAGGGCTTTGCTTTCTCCCAGCGCCTCCGAGGAAGCCGCTCCAATACATTAACCAGTTTAACTTGCTCGTGACCCCCTCTGCCCGGCGCACAAAGAGGCTCTGCTCCCGCTTTTTTCCCCGGCTCCCTTTCAGGAGCTAAATCCCCCGCTGTTCTCCTGCGCGCTGGCTCTCCTGCTCAACCTTTCTCAGGCCTCTGCTTCAGCCCCGGGAAATAATAACGCTTTGCATTTCTATAGCCCCCCGGCCTGGTGCGGTCCCGCCGCGCAGGCTGTGCACGTCCCCGGCGCGGGGACACTTGGGGTGGTGGGGACGAGTTGTCAGGTTGGGGGTCACATCGGGCTGGGGAGTTGGGCACAAGGTCCCGCTCCAGAGCAGGAAGGGTCAGGACAGGGATGGTGGCCAAAGGGGACCCCAGCTCCTTGTTTCTCCATTGCTGCCATCAGTGGCCACACTGCGGGTCTTGCAGGAGCTCCAAGGCTGGGGTCCCTGCTCCCACACGGGATTGGGGCAGCATGGAAACACTTCTCCCACTGCAGCCACTGGGATGGTGCTGCCAGGCCCCCTTGCTGCAAGGGCAGGAGGGTTTTCCCTTCCCAGAGTGGCTAAAAAAGATGCAGCAGAAGGAAACGCGAGCCCATGTGCTGGCCCTGAATAGAGGATTCCCGTTCCCTCGCTCTGGCACAATGCGAAGTTAACCAAACGGCAGGACGGGAGCACAGCAATGTGCCATAGGGCTGCCGCTTTCCGAGGGGTAATTGATGCAAAGTCGCTTTTGTGCTCTTGGAAAAGCCAGGGTAGAAAAAGAAAAGGGAGGGGGTGGTGGATCAGGATCGCCCCTCCGTCCTCTGACATCTCCGTCCCGCAGCCTGCATGCCCGGGTGTCGGGCCGAATCCAGTTAAATACACACGACAGCACAGTCCTCCCTAAGTGTGCCTTTGACAGAGCTTTTAACCCCTGTCTGGCGAAGCAGAGAAGCTGCTCCCGGCGCACAGGGCAGCTTTGTGGGTCCCCTCGGAGCGCCGGGACGCGCTCCTCTCGGGCACTGCTGTGCTCTGGGAGTCCTGAGCGCTCAGAGCGCGCGCTGCGGTCCAGCAGCGAGCGAGGACCCGTGCACAGGGCTCTAAGGCAATTTAAACCATCCTCATGCTGCTCCGCAGCTGTAAGGGGGGTGATGCCCCTGCCTTGTGCCGGGCTCTCTTGTGGAAATCAGCACAGGTTCGTTTTCAGCAGGAACGAGCGGTTTGTGCTCCTTGGAGGGCTGCCCTAAGCCTAGTTTGGGGGAGATGATGTGGGTGTTGGGTCCTGCTTCACCGTCACCTCTCCCCCAGGATGGGTGGCAGATGCCGGGCAGAGCCAGGAGCAGAGGTGCCAGCAGAGGAAGCCGTGGGGACGCGTGTGGCCCATGGCCTCGTCCCGCGGGAGGGAGCCGCGATCCAACGGGAAAACACCATGGAAAGAAAGACTTCCCGCCGGCACCCCCGCACTGACCCCGGCCCGCAGCGCCCTCCTAATCGCCTTAGCCGCGGCTCCGGCCAGACTGCAGGGCCCTTGTGCGGCGGCCGGCGCCACGAGCCCCGGGGTCCCGGCGCGCGGCCCCGCGCCCGCCCGCGCACACAGTCCGTATTGTTGGTGGCCGCGGCGGCAGCGGCGCCCGTGGGCACTGGGGACAGCTGGGCCCGCGCGGGGACCCGAACATCTGTCCGCAACCCTGGTCCCCGGCCACTTCGGAGGCTCCGGGAGCGGGAGAGCAGCTGGTTGGGGGGAAAAAAAAAAAGTGTATTTCCTCCCCTTTTGGCTCCGTGAGAAAGGCACTCTGTGTCTATTCAGGCTCTTGCCGAAAGGGCTTTTCAGCTGCCTCTCGAGAGCTGCGGTTTCTCTGCAATCAGGTCGGAGACAAAAGGCTTCCAAAAAAAAAGAAAATCAAGAATTGGATCCCGGGATCTGCAGCAATACTGGGAAGTCGGGGCTGTGGGATTGGGTTCCTGTATTTGTATGGTCTCGTTGCTGTTTTTCTTGCCCTGTGGGAGGCTCCTTTGGCATGGCAAGCCCCTGTGCCCTAGCTGGCAGTGCCATGCGGGGCACAACCCACATCCATGGATGGCCTCAGGGTTTCTATCCCCAAGCCATGGGGTAACCAGAGCATGGTAGATCCCACCACGGGGACGACGCAGACACCAGAGCATGCCCAAGGATTTCCAGCACTATTTGTGCAGTGATGGGGATGCACAGAGCACGTGACAGGAGGAAAAATGCAAATTGGACCCGGTCCCTGCCCCAAAGCGCTGCAGTCTCCCATTGTGGCCCTGCGCTGCGGCCAAGGCGAAAGGAGCCAGACTGCAGCACACACAACACGCGAGGCCTGCGAGAGGAAACCCAGAGCTCGCCGCCTGCACGGGGCATGAGGGGGAATCGAGGCCCCGAGGGTTGCGGCCAGTAAAATAGCAGGATAGCAGCTCACCCAGGAGCAGATTTCAATGCAGTCTTGCCATGCCAGCCTCCAGCCCCTCGCTGAAAACACGTCTCATTTAGCAAGGTGTAATTATAAGGGTCAGTAATCACTAGTGGCCACACTTGGCATGGACATTGTACTTATTTTCAGGAACAGATCCCAGAGAGTCTCATAAATTGGGGCAGGCAAGGAAGCAGCAGGCGCCTCTCCACCTCGGACCGCGTTTGGCAAGAGGCAGATTTTCTGCTGTGAGAAAATCTCAGCGCGGTTCTCGGCGAAGCCGACCTGGCTACGCGACACCCCGCGCAGACTCTGCCCTGCCCGTAGACCTGGCCCAAAGGGAAGTGATGGGAGGTGAGCAGGAAGGCGGCCGGGGAACCTGGCAGGGCAGGGGTGGCTCGTGGTGCTCGTGGGCACGCAGTGTTGGCTGGGCTGGAGCCACGTGGGCAACGCTGGTGTCAGGAACAGGGATAGCTGATCAGCACGGGGCCACTGGGCCCTGGAAAACATGCCATGCTCAAGTGAGGGGATGGCTGAAGGTTGAAGCAGAGAAGCTGCTCAGTCTCACCACAAAGCAGAGCTGAGATGTGCGTTGGGGAAATGAGAGTTTGGAGAGAACCAAGCAGGCGAAATGCGGGCGCTGAGGGGGAGGCGGATGTGCCGCAGGCCGGGGCCCTTGGGAAGCCAGCAGCCCATCTGCCTCCCTGTAGGTTTCATCAGGACCTCTTGGTCCCTCTGCCGACTCCAGGCTCCCAGGGGTGTCCTGGGGCTGGGAAGGTGCCACTCACACGGACTCTGCGCACAAGGGGACGGGCATGCTCCCTGCACGTGCCGACACGGAGGTGACAGTGGCATGCGGTTTGCTGGGTGCCCATGCCCGTCACTCCTGCTGGAGCAGCCAGCAGAGCTTCTAGCCCGATGGGGGTGACCAGACCCCGCGCTACGCCAGCCCTGCTGCCCCCAGCCTGCCCACCACCCTGGGGCACCAGCCCCGGGCCAGATCGGCCTTCACGGGAGGGAAGGAGCAGGCTGCCCCTCGCACCCGTCCTGCGCTCCCGGCACGGGCAGGGGACACACGGGCGACTGACGGGGACAGGTAGGGGATAGAAGGGGACTAACGGGGATACGCGGGCCCAGGCGGAGCTGGCGGGGGCCGGGCCGCGGCGCTGCCCACGCCCCGCGCACACGCGTGGGGGCGGCCCCGGGCACGGCCCGCCCCGGGCGCGGCGGAGCTTTTAAAGGCGGCGGCGGCGGCGCGGCGGGGGACGGCGCTAGCGGCGGCGGAGGCGGCAGCCGGCGAGGAGGAGGAGGAGGAGGGGGAGGAGGAAGAAGAGGAAGAAGAAGGGAGAGGAGAAAAATAAAAATAATTAAAAAAAAAAAAAAGCAGGCATCGTTATCATCAGCAGCGGCGGAGGATGCTGAAGAGCTGCGGCAGGAAGCTGCTCCTGTCCCTCGTGGGCTCCATGTTCACCTGCCTCCTGGTGCTCATGGTGGAGCCGCCCGGGCGGCCGGGGCTGGCGCTGGGCGCGGGCGGAGGGGCGCAGCGGGCGCTGCAGAGCCTGGGGGCGGCCGCCCCCGGCCCCGGCCGGGCCCCCGCGGGGCTCCGCAGCTTCGCCGACTACTTCGGGCGGCTGAGCCGGGCGCGGAGGGAGCTGCCCGGCCCCGCCGCCAGCGCCCCGCGCCCGCCCGCCGAGGACATCTCGGCCCGCGACGTCTTCATCGCCGTGAAGACCACCAAGAAGTTCCACAAGGCGCGGCTCGAGCTGCTGCTCGACACCTGGATCTCCCGCAACCGCGACATGGTGAGCGCGGCGGCACGGGGGAGAAGCGGGGGGCGTGCGGGGCTGGGGCGCCCGGGGGCGCCGAGCCGCGGCAGGGCCCTCGGGCGGCTGCGCGGGACGGGGCGGGGGTCGGCCAGGGTCTGGTTCGGTCCCTGTGCGGTCCGGGGACTCGGGGTGCCCGGGCACCGCAAGCGTTGCCACCGCTTTGTGCTCGCCGGTGTCGCCGGGCGGGAGCGTTTTGGGAAGGGTTTCAGGAGGGGGAAACGCGGTTTGCCCACCCATGGGGTGTGCTGGGCATGGGGACCCGGGGTGGCAGGAGGCTGCCGGCCCCGGGAGCCTGAGCGCGGCAGTCATGGAATAACTGCAGCTCTGGGATTGCTCCATCCAAGCGACTTCTGTGGAAACCCCAAGTGTTTTCTATGGGGAAACTGAGGCCTGGCCCTGCAGTGTGGGGAAGAGCTGGAGCTGGGAGCACCTGGGTAGGGTCTCGTCCCCCAGTGTCCCCAGGGGGTGCCTGGCTGTGGGTGCTGGGTGAGGTGGTGTGGGTGCCTGCAGCCTGGAGGGCACCTCTGCTCCCTCCCGGAGCGTTGGGAGGGCCATGGGACGCGCTGTGGCTCCTGGTCAGGTGCAGGGAGCGGGGAATAGCTGCAGAGTTCCACAGCTTCCATGGATCTGCTCCTGGATGTGCCCTAGGCTCCAGCTCGCCTGTGCTGGGGCTGCTGCAGCTCTTGATTCACGCCTGCTCTGAAGTCTTTCGCTCACCTCTTGCACAGTCCTTCAAAGAACTAAGGCAAAATGAGCAAGAGGGGGAAAGAAAATCCATTTCCTTAGGAAACGTGTCTTGCCATCTGCCTCCTGGAACACTTTTCATCACTAGACAGCTTCCCAAGCAACTTAAGGTCCAGACCTTCCCATCCTTCTGTCTTCACGTGTTTCCTTGAGGGCCCTGGCTGGCTCTGGCGTCGCGTTTCTCACTTGCAAGCTGTTTTCTAGGCAGTCTGAAGTGGCCGGGGGAGGGAGCGGAACCCAAGTGTCCATGTCCCGGTTGCCTCGGATCCCTTGGAGCCTCCAGGCGGGCTCTGCTCCTGGGAGCCAGCCCTCAGCATGGATGTTTTTTGCCTGGGATCTGTCCCTCTGCTCAGGGCTCTGGGGCCTGGCAGCAGCTCTGTCATTTCCCCTGCGTGCAGTTATTTAATGGAAACCTCTTTTATGCTCCGCTGTCACTGGAGGAGGTGGAGAGTGGTGGGGGGGGAGAATCCTCTTTAAGCACCTACCGATGATCCTGGGAATGGCTGGTCTTTTTTTTCCTCCCCCTCCTTGGGAGCTCCCCCTTTCTTCTGCCTTTTTTTGTTTTGTTTTGTTTTGCCTCGTTTGTCCGTTTGGATTCCCAGAGCCCGGAGCCTCGGCTCTCACGCTGTCCCCCTGGGCAAGCTAACAAAGCCCCTTTTCTCCCCGCGCAGAGAAAAGGCTCCGCAGCCTCTTGTGTGGCACTTTCCATGGGAACGGCGGAGCCGGAGCCGGCGCTGTCCAGGTCAGGTTGCCTAGAGATGAGGGCCGGGAAGCCAGGGGGGCCGCCCGCCCGCCCGCGAGGTGCCCGCCTGACAAGCCAAGGCGCCGAGTGACGCCTCTCGTGCGGCACTTGAGGGACAAGGAGCTCGAGAGCGCGACGGAGGCGCTTGGAGCTCCCGCCGAGCGGAGCCAGGGAGGACAAGGAGGCAGCCGACTTGCTCGTGCCGCCAAGGAGCGGTGGGAATTGGTTCCCACCTTCCCATGCAGACCGTGTTTTGGGGAAGCGCCGAGGGACCCCAGGAGTGCGGGTCACCCCCCGAGCCCTGTGGCTCCTGCGTCACCTCCTTGCCCGCGTCTCCGGCTGCATTTTCTTTCTCGGTCTCGCACGGGATGTTTGCACCCGGGAGCCACCCCAGCCGAGACATCTCGGTCTGAGTCAGGCCTCTCGCTCCTCATCCTGCTGCTCTCCCGCTGTTTTGCTAACCAACAACGGGGGAATTTCCCGCTGAAGGTCCAAGTGCCCCCTTTGCCCCACACAGCATCTCAGTCCTCCCCTGGCAGCGCATCCCAACCTTCCTCTGAGTTGCTCACAAGCCATGCAGAAGCCCTGGAAAGAAGGAGTTAATGGGGCAGGTAACCTGGGGGATAGGGGGAATGGCCATTGTGTTCTTCCTTGGATAGTCTTTGTTCTCCAGACAATAGTCCCTGTTTCCTGTGGTCTCTGCAGTCCAAGATCCTTCAATAGCCTTAGGCAATGGGCACCCCCTTCCTGCCTTTTTTCTGCAGAGTGAGGGCAAATCCTGGTTTCTTGCTAAATCTGCCCTTGCTTCCCTGCATTACACAATCCAGGAGCAGAGTTATGGAGTTTTCCCTGCTCACTTTGGGAGAACATCCAGCTGCTGCCGTCGTCCTGTCTGTACCCTGGGATGTTGGAGTGCAGCTTAGGGAAACTTTGGCCTCGAAGAAAAAGGGAGGTGGGTGCAGGGGAATGTCTGTGGCACAGAAATCATAGGAGCGAGCGGGTCCAGGACACCGCTTTCCTGCTGAGCTTGGTGCTCTGCAGCAGCCCCGTTGCACAACACGCATCCCGGGACGCAGGGCACCGTGTCGAGGGTGCAGGAGCAGATGCCTGGGAGGAAGGGCCGCGTGTGACGCTGCCAGCGCGGGATGCGCTCGCTTCCTCCAGCGCGCCCAGGTAATTGCAGGCTTTGAAGGAAGAATAACTAGAGAAAAATCAAATAATAATAATAAAAAAACCCTTGCTCCTGGCTGGGGAGGAAAGCGTTTGCCTTCCGGACAGCGCGTTCCTCTGCGGTGGCGGCTCCTGGAATGTTTCTAGCACCTTGGCCAGGGTCCCTGCGCTCGGGGGCCAGGGCGGCAGCGTGCGCCGACACGCCGCACGTGGCGCGGCAGGCGGGAGCGCGGCGCCCGGCCGGGGCCTGCCGGGCCCTGGGGGCTGCGGCTCTGCCACGGGGCTGCTGGGGGATGTTGGCAGACACGGGTGCTGTCTGAGCACTGGGCAACTCGTTGCATTGCACAGTGCTGTTGTCCTTTGGAGGATGGGATGAAAGGCTGTGGGGTCGCATCCGGGACAGGGAAGAGAGCGGGACTCTAATTGCGCAACGCGCTCGCTGTGTGCGAGGGGGTGATTAAAAATTGTGGTGCTGGAAATCAGTGGGGGATCCTTGCTTTTACTGGAAGGATGAGCAGGGAGGGCCCCGGGGCCTTGCACGGGCGATGCCCCCATCCCCGGCTGCCAGCCGGGAAAGCTGCCGCGCCGGAGCGGGGCCGGCGCCGGGCGCTCGCCTGCACCCATGGAGCAGCACGGGGACTTTCCCTGCGGCCCCGCGTGGGGCTCGTTTGCAGTAAGCAGCGTCTGTGACTCGAGATCTTCTCTGCCTCCTTCCTGCTGCCCTCAGCTCCCTTTGCAAGAGGGAGGTGGCGCGTCCCTGTTGTCCTGGGGGCTAAGGTGTTGCGGTCCCTTTACAGGTAGTCCTGAGCATCCCGGATCCTCCTGTGCATCCCTGAGGCTGTGATGGGCATCAGGGCACAGCAGGGGTGTTGGGTCTGCTCCTGGTACAGGGAGGCGTGAGGTTTGGGGCAGGGAAAGGCAGGATTTGTGCGACAGAGAGGGTGTCACGAGGCCCTCCAAGAAGCGCCCTGTGGAGGTTCCTCTTTTGAGCGGGTTTGCTGCAGAGGAAGCTGCAGGCGGAGGCAGTCACGCTGCCCTGCGTCACCCTGAAAGCGCCCGGTCCCCCTTGAAAATGCAGTGTGACGAGGAGGGGGCAAGGAGAGGAAGGCAGCACGGGGCCCTGGGTGCTCTCGGGCGCTTTGCACTGCAAAAGCAGTGGTGGGGAAGTGAGTCACAGCGAAAAGGAGAAATGAAGGGGAGGATGGAAAACAAAAAAATAAAATTGTAAGAAGCGGGGCCTGAGGAAGAGGCGGAGGGGCTGGCAGCGCGGCCCCGGGCTCCGCGCGGCTCCGTGGCAGCTATTGTTCAGGGGCCTGGGCATCCTGTGTTTCTTCCAGCTGCACTTTTTAGAACAATGAGGCTTCCTGCGCGTCCCCAGGCAGCGGCTCCGGGCGGGCAGCGGCCTCGGAGCCACCACGGAGCCTCCTTTCCTTGGCCCCGGCCGCTGGAGCCTCCTTTCTTTGGCGCCAGCCGCCAGGATGTCGGGGTGCCGCGCTCCTGGCCCGAGGGGGGGCAGGGAGAGGTGCTGGGGGTGCCTGCAGGACCCTGGTGCCTTTCCCAGGAGCGAGGACAGGGACTGGCCCTGTTGCTCGTGGCTCCGGAGGGGTCTCGAGGTGTCGTATTCGGTGTGTTGGGCTGGAGTGGCGCATCCCGCTTGTCCCGCTGCAAAGCGGGAGCTGCTGCAGGTCCGAATGTGGCTCCGTGCTGCGTCTCCCAGAGCATCTCCTGCCGTGTTAGCAAGGAGCGGCCACGGGATCGGTCAGGCCCTTGGAGACGGCTGATCCTTGGCTCCCCGCACCACATTTCCTTGTCCCTCTCCTTCCCGGCCCGTTTCCTCCCCCCGGGCTCAGCTGGCGCCTCTGCTCCGGCCCCGCTGAGCTCTGCAGCCTGCGCAGGGCCAGGGGGACTGTGCAGGAAGGGCAGATCTCATCTAGGAGAAATGCAGACAAATTAATTAGAGAAGCTATAATTGTTCGGGCTTTAATTGAATTTCTTGGCTGGGTTGTGGCCGTGGCGGGGCCGGGTGCGAGCGGGGCCCTGGGGCCAGGCGGGCTGCTCCAGGACACTGCAAGGTGCCAGCCCGCCTTCCCGTCGGGAGCGGGTGTTCCGGCAGCGCCGGGAAGCTGCAGGGGGGAGCCCAGGGGAAGAAGCATCTTCAGGATGAAGCCTCCCGACACGGGCCCTCGTACACAATTGTCCCCGGGCTCTATTTATAGCAGCGGAGCTGCCGCGTTACTGCGGGGTTATTTTTGGAGCTGCTGCAGGCTCTTGCTGGACGGCGTTTCGAGCCCTTCGAGGAGACGCTCTCTGTGCTGCCTGCCCGGCCTGATGGCTGCCTCTTCCCGCGTCCGCATGGGGACGGAGCCGGGCATGGGGACGGAGCCGGGCACGGAGCATCGCCGCATGGGCGGCATCTTCTGAACCGGCGCTCGCAGCCGGCTCCTCCTGGGCATCCTGGCACTTAGGCGTGTGCCGTTGGGCCCTGCCTTTTGCGCCTCCTCCCTCCTTGTGTCCCCTTTTGGGCCAGGAGGGCACTCAGCCTCCTCCCCGGGCCTCCACCCGCCTCGCTGCTGCTCCCGGCAGCCTCCGTGCGCAGGGACCTGAGCAAACACAGCAGCGGGGTCAGGCGAGTCCCGCTTAACCAGCCCAGCTGTATGCTAATGCCCGGCTAATGCCGCGCTTAACTCTGCCCGCCTGAGTAAAGTCAGCCCCGCGCGCCCCGCTATTGTCACCGGCTCCGCAAACAAGCCACGAAACCCCGCGCGCCGCCGGGGCCGCCCCAGCCAGGGGTGGCAGCGAGTTTCCAGCTCACTTGTAATCCATCATCCCCAGAGCCCTGTCCCCGTTTCCCTCCCCGCCGGCTCCTGCCTCCCCCCCGGCCCTTTTGTCTTTCATCCTTTGCCCTTTTGTGCACGTCTGGTTTTTCGTAGCGCTTGGCAGCTGGTTGTGGTTTCTCTCCTCCGGCTTTGTTTGCTGCTCGCTGATGGATGGAGGTGCCTTTCCCACCCCTCCTTTGCACGTGTTTCTTGTCCCCCCTACCTCCAGCAGCAGAACCCACCCCGTCCTGAGTGACATATGCCAGGAATTAGCTGTGCAAATAGAGGAGTGGGGCCAGGTGGCCGTTCAGGAGCTCCCAGGGCAGGTGGCTGCTGCTGGAGGACCTTGTGTTGTGCTGGTTCTCAGCATCTTCCCCGGCTTCCATGCACCTGGTGGGCCCTGCTGCCTCATCCCTGGGAAAGCAGGGGATGGAGGTGCTTGTGTCCTCTCCTCTCCCCTTGCTTCCATCTCCCTCCTTCTCGTTGATATTATCTGCGTGAGCATCTCTGAATGCACCGTCCAAGAGGCAGGACTTTTGGTCCCCTGATCCCATCTCTCCAGTGGGTTTGGGGATAGGGCTCGGCCGCTCGCTGTGCCGTATCCCTTAGGCAGCCCCTTCACTAGAGGGGCTGTATTGGGTTTTAGTGAAGAGGAGCAAGGTGCCGTGTGGGGCTGATCCCAGGAGCGCTACGTGATGCCACCTCGGTTCTCAAGGGCGCCTCATCTTCTCTTTCAGACATTCATCTTCACGGACGGTGAGGATGAAGAGCTGAAGAAACAAGCAAGTGAGTCCGTGCCCCTTTGCGCCCCCAGCCCATCCTCCCTCTCGCACACCGCTCGTGGGCAGGGAGCCCCTGTGCCCCTTGGGCTCAATGGGCAACGGGGGATGTGCAGGACTCCCCCGGGCAGCGCTCGGCAGCTCTCCCGCACCCTCGGCCAGCTCGCCCTATTCTCCTGATGCAAATGACTCCCTTTGAGCCCGGCCATCAAGTCCCTTTGAGCCCAAATAGCAAATAGCAGGTGGCCCGTGGTGGGAAAATGCAGGATTCGTGCCAGGGAACATATCCCAGCGGGAGAAGTCAGCTTGCAGATTGCCCATCACATAGCTGAGAAAAAAAGAATACTTAGCATGTGTATAAATATGGATAGATTGATTGATTGTTAGATAAATAGGTATGTATAGCCAAAACTTAGGTCTTCCGCTTCATCCGTGCTGCTCACCTTAGCTCAGGGGGACACTAAAGCTCTGCCCAGAGACCTGTCCCCACCTCGACCCAAACAGGGATCGGCCCCTATGGTGGGGTTTAACCCCTGCTCTGCCTGCAGGAAACGTCATCAACACCAACTGCTCGGCTGCCCACAGCCGCCAGGCCCTGTCCTGCAAGATGGCCGTGGAGTACGACAAGTTCATCGAGTCCGGCAAGAAGTAAGAGGCGCCCGGGGCTTTGTCCTTAGGAGACGGGGATCCAGTGTTGAGACAGGGAGGTGGACGCCCTGGTCCGATGTAACGCGGTGCCCGCTGTGACCCCAGGTGGTTCTGCCACGTGGACGATGACAACTACGTGAACGTCCGCACGCTGGTCAAGCTGCTCTCCAGCTACCCGCACACGCAGGACATCTACATTGGGAAGCCCAGCCTGGACCGGCCCATACAGGCGACCGAGAGGATCAGCGAGAACAAGATGGTGAGAGGAGCTGCCTTGGCGCGCGCCGGGCTCCCTGGCCCGTGCGTGGAGGTGGGCACCGTGCTCACCACCGTTGCTCTCATTCCCTCCCAGCATCCGGTGCATTTCTGGTTTGCCACGGGAGGAGCCGGGTTTTGTATCAGCCGGGGGCTGGCGCTGAAGATGAGCCCGTGGGCCAGGTAAGAGTGTTGGGCTTGCTGCCCTGTAGAGACTCTTGAAGGTGCCACGTCGTTGGGGCTGGACACTGAAATGTGCCCTGCTGTCTTGCTCGCTTGTCCTAGGGGGATCCTGGGGTTTCTGCAGGGATCTGGAAATAGGCTGGGAAGGGAGTTGGGTTCCTCTTGCCCTGGTTGCCTCTTAACCAGAGTCGGGCTGATCTGTGGGGCAGCTGAGCACTGGAGTGAGTTGTCCAGAGAGGCTGCAGAGGCTCCATCCTTGGAGATGTTCAGAAGCCATCTGGATAGGGTCCTGGGCAATGTGCTTTAGGTGGACGTCCTCCAGCGGTGAGATTGGACTAGGTAATCTCCAGAAGTCCCTTCCAATCTCAATCTGTGATTCTGACCCACCAGTATCGCACACCAGACCCCATGAGGTGCCACCTCCCCGCCGGGCTCTGCCCCCCTGTTCTGCAGCTCCTTGTCTCCCACAGTGGTGGTCACTTCATGAGCACCGCAGAGAAGATCCGCCTGCCCGATGACTGCACCATTGGCTACATCATTGAGTCCGTGCTGGGCGTGAAGCTCATCCGGAGCAACCTCTTCCACTCGCACCTGGAGAACCTGCACCAGGTGCCAAAGACAGAGATCCACAAGCAGGTAAACTTTTACATCGAGTCGCCTGAAAACTAGGCAGTGGAGGGATCAAATCCTTGTGAAGGGGGCAGAGATGCCCATCCTGGAGGAGTCCAGCAGAGTTTTCCAGGGTGGGGAATTTCCCAAGCCTCCGAGACCCCCATTTAACCCCCAGAGCAGCCCCTTGCCCCTGCGGTCGCGTGACCTCCTGTGCTGCTCCCCGCAGGTGACACTAAGCTACGGCATGTTTGAGAACAAGCGCAACTCCATCCACATGAAGGGCGCGTTCTCCGTGGAGGAGGATCCCTCCAGGTGGGTGCCAGGGCTCGGCGCGGCCGGCACCGAGCGGGGCTGGGGCTGCAGCGTCACCCCAGTGCTCAGCCCAGCTAAGCTCAGCTCTGCTCTCCGCAGGTTCCGCTCCGTGCACTGCCTGCTCTACCCGGACACGCCGTGGTGCCCCGCCAACGTCGTTTACTAGGGGGGCGCGCGCGCGCGTCCCCCCCGTCTCTAACCTCGTCCCGAGCTTCCCCGGTATCCGAAGGGCTCGTGGGACGGCCGTGTGCGTGGGGTCCCCGGCGCGGGGGCCCGAGCTGTGCCCGTGCACAGCGTGTACTGAAGGCTGCTGTGCGGCCCCGGCCCCGCGGCCCGCCCGGGGCAGCTCCTGAGCACTTACACACTCGGCGCAGGGGCCGGGCTCAGCTTCCCACGCAGGGTGTGGGGAGCGCGGCCCAACCTCCGCTCGCTTCTCTGCCTTTTTGTTGTTTGCTTTTTGAGTGGTGATTCTTGGATCTTTTTATTGTGTCTTTCAACCCTCGGCTCTGACCGTTCCCGTGCGCTCCCAGCCTCTGTCCCTGCTCCTCCTGGGATCCAGCTCCTGGGATCCAGCTCCTCTTGCAGATGGAGGCTCCTGGGCCCTCTCTGCATCCAGCTCCCTTCCCAGGGAGCGGAGAGGGAGGCGCGGGAGCTTCCCCAGCTCTGGCGGCACACGTGAGGTCTGGGGCTGGGAGCCACCGCTGCACCCAAGGGAGCCCGCGTGGCACACGGGGAGCCCGGGAATCCCGTTAGCTCCGTTTGCTGGAGCTCCTGACGTCTCGCTGGAGTATTTCCAGCAGCATAAATCTATGCACTATTTATAGAGACTAATTTAAAGATTTTTCTATAAATTGGGGGGGTGGGAGGGGGAAGGAGGCTGGTGGGAGAGAAGCCTTTGTGCCACGGCGGCACCGTGCCCAAGTGTCTCCCTTCGGTGCAGTGTCCCGGCTCTGTCCCCGCCGCCCCTCCAGCAAAACCACCTGGGGGGACATTGCCCTGTGCAGCGTTTCCCCAGCCCATGGCAAAACTTGATCCGGGCACTGAGGTTTTGCGGGAAGGGCGAGGGAAGCAGAGGTGCTGCTCATCCCTAGGGACCATCCATAGGCAGAGCTGGACGGTTCCAACCCGAAGCCGAGTGAAAATAGCCCATAATGGGTGCATTGTACATATCTTATTGTGCCAGTATTTTTTTTACTGTGCCTTTTTTAAAAAGAAGAAAAAAAAAGAGGAAAGAAAAAAAAAACATGTTGAGAATTATGTAGATTTTAAAATGCTTTTTATATGTTTTCTGTGGATCGGAAAAGAAAAAAGAAAACAACCTTCTGATAATCTGTTTAAGAAGAAAATGTCTTGCAATGTCTTGTAACTATCACTTACCTTAATTTATATGTTCCAGTATCTGGAATGTCACTCTGGACTCTCTAGTCTTTATTTTGCTTGTAATGGGGCTGAGATTAAGAGCAATGACTGTGGGGCTGGGGAAGGGACACGGGCCAGGGGGTTCTTAGGGGTGCGACCCCGGTGGGAGCAGCAGCGGGGGGACCCTGCGCACCAGGCAGGAAGGTGCTGGCCAAGGGCCCCAACTTGCCCCATTTTCCCCCCTCCTGTGTTTTCTTTATTCCAGGGGCTGCCTGGGTTCTTTTTCCCACGCTGCACACGCTGGTCCCACCTTTCCCTCCTGCAGTGCCAGCATCACCTTCGCATCCCCCTCCCCGTGCTGGCACTTAGCACCGGCAAAAGGGTTTTTTTGGTTTTTTTTTCTTCCCTTTTTCCCCTCTTTTTCCCAGGCTCTGGCGGCAGGGCTGGGCGCGAGCCGCTTGTTCACAGGCAGGTGCGAACAGACGGCGGCAAGCGCCGGCGTGGGAAGCCGGGGGTCCCGCGGCCCTGGGGGGCAGCCAGTGCCACCCCCGTGTCACCACCCCCGTGTCACCACCCCCCCTGCACTGCTCGGCTTGTGCCGCATCCCTGGGCGCTGCAGCCACCCCGTCATTCCCGCTGCAGCCGGGTTGGGTTTTTGCATTTCCCGGGCGCTTCCTTCGTGCCTTCCCTCGGGTTTCTCGCGGGTCAGGGTCGCCTGGGCTAAAAATACCCCCCAGCGGGGGGTGAAAGCGCCCGGCCCCGTGTGCGCACGCGGCCCAGCACCAAAAATAACCCCAGCCGCAGCGCCCCCGCCACGCGCTGCCCCTTCCTCCTGCCCTGGGTTCCTGTCTGTCGCCATCGGTGGCACCTCCAGGGCCCCCCCTTCCTTTTCACATCCCCCTGCCTTTCAGGCTGTTCCTCATCCCAGGTTCCCCTTCAGATGTAGCGGGGGGAAAAACCACCCAAACCTCCAACTTTCCCTTCTTCTTAGCAGCTTTTAAGCCGGGCACCCGGCTGCTTCTGGCTCCCTTGGCTCCTGCAGCCCTGGGGCAAGCGGAGGCCGGTGAGTGGGGGTGAATCCAGCCCCTCTGGAGCAGCTGGAAACACTTCCCATCGCGCTGCCGAACAGGAACCGCGACCCCCCCCCCCCGCCCCCGCCATGCTGTAGCCCCCGTCCATCATCCCGCCTCCCTCCCACTCTTTTCCCAGCCATGGGCGCGTCTCCCCCTCCCCAAATGCTCCCGCTGCAAAGCCAACACGCGGCGCCTGCATCCGGCAGGGCCCCTTCCCGGAGCGCTGATTTACGGAGATCCCAGCGCCGCTTGGAGCGTGAAGCACCCGGACCGGCTCCCGTGTCGGCACCGCAATGCCTTGGGTGCAAAGGGAGGGGATTGGGCTCCCCTGGGCAGGATGAGCCCTGCCTGCCCTGGACCCGCCTGTGGGCACTCGCCTGAGTGTCACTGAGCGGGAGATGTTCACGAAAAGGGCTTCTCTTGTTGCCTACCAGCCCAATCCTAAAGAGCTTGGCTCGTCCTTAGCGCCCTTCAACCATGGGGCTGAAGAGCAGCTGCAGATCCCTGCACAGTGACCTGGCTGAGCCCTTGCAAAGGGCCAGCCCTTGCATAGCACGACACCCTTGCAGAGACAGCCCTTGCACGGGGACAATCCTTGCAAAGGGATGGCCCTTGCACAGTATGAAGCCCTTGCACAGGGACAGCCCTTGCACAGCACGAAGCCCTTGCAGAGGGACCCGGCCCTTGCGCAGCACGCGGTTCTAGCTCAGCACCCTGCAGCAGCCTGAGCTTCTGTCCAGCACGCCAGGCCAAGCCTGACAACCCAGGTACCCATCAACCATCTCGGAATGGGCCACCAGCATCCCCGTGTGGTCAAGACACACCCGTGCCGCCCTGTTCAGGATTTGCTTTACATGATCTGGTCCTATAGGGCTGCTGCCATGAACGTACAGTACGATGGGACGCCTCAGGCTCTGAAGCCCTCAGCCTTGCAGCAGGGCAAGGGCCCTTGGCAAGGGCAAAGGGACCAAGGCCTCGGTCACCAGCTGCTACTTCAGCCTCCTCCTGGTTCTGGGAACCTCAGAAAGATGGTGAATCAGGTCCCTCCTGCCCAAGGAGGGAGGTGAATCCACACACAGCTGATGGCAGCACCTGGGCAAATGCAGACCAGTTTGTCAAGAGCAGCTTGGTGCACCCTGCCAGCAGAAACATCACCCTTTTCCCACCAGTTCCCACCCCGACAGGTTCTAAGAGACAGAGGCATTTAATCAGTAACCGGAGCCCCGCTCCATACACCCCCATACTGTTTTTATCACCCTACCTCCCCACTAACCACCCCCCCCACCGTAGAGCTCCGGGTGCTCCAGCTCAGCGCACCCATCACTCCAGGGCATCCAGCCCTCCCTTATCACAGAGGCCCCACATCTAAGGGCCCACTACTAAAGGCTGCTCGGGAGGAGAGGTTTCAGCACCAACACACTCAATGCTCCCCACTCTTTTCTCCCCTCACAACATGCCTTAGGACTAAGCCCTGCTCTGCGTGTGGTTTGACAAGAGGCAGGAGCTCAAGCGCTGGGAAAGGTCACGGGGCAGGAGGCTTCTTCCCAGTCCCTCCTCTGGTGGGAGTCAATAAACCTGGTAAAATATTGACCTCCTGCTGAACGCTGTCTTGGTCTTCATGCCATCATGTTGCACTTGACTGCTCTAAGCCCTTTGCACCAGGTTTAAGCATCTCAAGGGGTGAAAGTGGAAGACATGGCTTCCTCTTTTAAGGCAAAACAATATACTATATATGTATTACATACATATATATGAATGTATTATATACATACGTATATAAGTTATTTTATATATATATATATATATATATATATACACAATTTTGTGTGTGTGTGTGTGTGTGTGTGTGTGTGTGTGTATGTGTGTAGGGAGGTAAATCTGTCAGTTATTAATGAGGGGAAGAAAAGAAGGCCCTGCTTAGAGCCATGCTTAGCTTCTGCAAGGGCAAAAAGCCCTCTGTGTCCCTGCTCTGCTCCCATGGTGGCCAAGAGCACCTAAGCCCCACACGTGCTACCCAGGTGGCTGTCACGGGTGACAAGGTGCCCTGGGCGCTCTTGGCTGGGGCTGCAGGGACACAGGCCGGTTCTGCCACTTAGCGGTGGCGTTTGAGAGTGTCACCATAGCCACAGCACCACCAGCTCGGGCGCTTTGTGCTGCAAACCCCCCAGCTGCAGTCCCCATGTGCTAACGGGAGCTTTGCCCTGCTCCTTCCCATGTCACGAGACTTTCCTCTCCCTCCAAAACTCCCTGCGTGAGGAAAAGCGCCCGATCCTGCTCCAGGGTGACCCAGGCACTGGAACCAGAGCCCGTACGGGGCAGCCCGGGGTTTGTTGGACATCTCCATGGTTGGAGTTGTCCAAATGCTGTGGCCAAGGAACCGGTTGGGGGGGTCCCCGACACAGAACAGCCCCCGGTGGCCCATTCGGGAGGGCCAGGGTCACTGGCCCTCAACCACGGAGCTCCAGCAGCCACAAGACAAATAAGAGCCACCGGGCCAAACATAAGAAAAAGGGACAAAATAAGAAGCCCTAAATAGGAATAGTGGTTTTAAGTTGTTTATTTTTTTTAAAACATGAAATCCAAGCTGAATAGAAACCACAGAAATTACATTTAGGATTTTTTTTTGTTTGTTTAGTATTTGCAAAACAAAAAGTTACAGTAAAAAATAGCTACATTACAATCAATAGAACTACAGAATTAAAAGGAAAGATACAAAAAAAAAATTGGGCTCAATCCTCTTTAACCCTCACAATTTAAAAACATTTTGGGTAAGTGCAGGAACACTTGAAAGAAACTAGCAGGTCCAAAGTTTAAAAAACAAAATTATATATATTTATATATTATATATGCATATAAAGTGGTATGATATACAACCATTATGGTTAAGAAGAAAAACAGAAAAGTTACAAAAAGGCCAGGTACATGTTCCTCGTTAGGGCTCTGTGCACAGTGTCCAAGAACAAAAAAAAAAAAACTTCCCTCTGGATGATGTGACTAAAATTCCTGGGGCCTCCTGTGAACGTGGGACCTGAGGCACGCGACGTACGGGCTGGACAGCGGCGAGGACAACGACACCCGGGGCCGTCAGCGGCGCCCTGCTCTGCGCGCGCGGGCCAAGTCGGCTTTGCGAGTCGAGGAGGAAGAGGAAGGAGGCTGGAATTGCATAGTGAGGAGCAATGTGGTAGCAAACACGCAGAGCACCTAGGAGCTTCATGCTACAGGTATCCTCGTGAGGAGAGGAGCCGGCTGCCCTGTCTGGCTGTGCGTCCGGTGCACTGGAGAGGCCGGGCGAGCCCCCCAGTGATTGTCCCCTCGTCCCCCCAGCCCGGCCACCTGCGGTCCCCGTCCTGGCGAGCAGGGAGCCCTCGGGGCCACCTGTGCCTGCAAGGACAAGGAGCGCCGCGGCGGCCACCCCAAGAGCGGCTGGAAATAGAGTCGTCTGCCATGCCAAAAGCCACCTGGTTAACGCTGCACATTGAGGTGAGGTCCCCTCTTGTTGGGCATGGGATCTGCTTCCAAGTTTCCGGCTGGCAGGGTTTGTCTTGCCAAGCCAGAGCTGTTTACTGAGCTAAGAGGCTTGTTTAGTTGAGGAAGGCTCTTGGTTTCTCCTTGGTCCCTTCCTAGGAGGTCTTTCCAACACCCCCTCAGTGGTGGCTTCATTACAAAGGAAAACACAGCAGCTCCTCTGCTCTTCAACCAGGTGTGGCAGCTGGAGGTAGCAAGCCAAGACACTCCTCTCATCTTCAAAGGGCTCGATATGCTATTTCTGTTGCTGCTACAAGGAAGGGAAGGTGGGACCAGAAATAAAGCCGGGCTTACCCACACCGCCTTCTCTGTACCCTGCTCTCCAGCTATCCACGCACGCCTGTCTGCACTGCAGTACCTGAAGTTGCCATAAACGATGGTTAAGCAGCCTGCAGAGAGACAGTTTCTTCTCAGAAAGGCTGCACTTCTCCTGTGAGCACTAAGTCATTTTAGGGAATTGCTGTGGCAGGCCTAACTTAGGATCACTTAAATCCCCATGCACTGTGTCCCCCTCGAAGCACTCAAATGAACACCCTTGCATCTTGGCTGAGATGACTGTACACGGAAAATTAACACCTATCCAATGGAGAAAAAACTTAAAAAGGACAGGAGGGGAAGGGAGCACTCCAACCTTCACGTTTGGATACATGGATGTACACTAAAAAAATCTTAGCTTGAACCCTTTTATCAGCACATAAAATGAACTCAATTTAATATTACATACAGGATACAAACACTACAGTTATATTCCCAAGACAGCACAAGAAATTCACAGCCAAGTCTTGATTTGATTTCCTTTACAAGTACAATGCAGTCTTGAACACTGGACACGAGAGTCCAACATGCTATTTACATTTCACATTGTGGAGATGTTTGTGTGCTTGGAAGAGTTCTCAGGTCCAAAAGAAAGTGTCATTCGCACATGATGATGCAGTGGAAATAAACCAAGCCACCCAGACAAGCCAATGACCACATTTGTGCTTCTGAAAAAGGAGCATGAAGGGTCTTCAGTGAAGCAGTCGCCTTTGACCGGACAGGTTGCCTTCCATTTTGCAGTCAACGAGGTTCCAGAGGCCAATCTCATCTCCCCTGAATTTAGGCCCCCTTTGTTAGCAACCAGTAACATGGATAATGTTCCGACAACGTCAACTGGGACACAGAGTGATATGGCCTTGGCATTTTGTCACATTAAAAATGAAGACACGCAATGGAAGAGAGAGAAGTCTCTGCAGCTTTGCCTCCTACAGTTGGGGCTCCCTCAACCATTAATGTCAACTGGAACAGATGAGCCTTCGCCGGATAGCACCTGCTGTTCACCCTAGGAGGAGGCACAGAGTCTGGGAGATCTTGGCTTGGGAAAGTCTGCTCCACAGACAAGATGTGACCATATGGATGAGACCGATTGCGTCGCAGCCATAGGAATAGGCAAAGGCCATCTGTTCTTCAGCAGATCCACTCAGACCAGCCTGCAGAAATGCCACGCTGCTGCTCAAGGTTCCAGTAAAAACAAAAAAAAGAAAGAAAAAACCCCAACGTCTGTCTTTGTTTCCGATCCGGGGCTCTGCACAGCATGCAGCAGGGCAGCAGAGCTCCGGGATGCTTTACAAAAGTGCAATATCTGTGTCAAGTAAGGGAAGTGCTGGCTGGACAAGGTGCACAGCTCACACCACGGTCGCGGGTTGCTGGCCTCCACGCAGCGAAATGGTTCTCCGTAACACCCTTTCCAGTTATGTTGTGAAGTCACCGAGCATCCGTGCCCGGCTGCAGGCCCCCGAATGTTGTCAGAAGTTGTTCTCAGTGTTGTGTGTGCCAAACCTTGGAAGAAGCAGGCCAAGGAGGCTGCTGCAAACAGAAGGTACAGGCTCCCCCTTATCACTGGCACCACAACTCAGATCCAACCCTGCCCAAAGTGCAGTCACACACACAGGTTGAGGATGCTGCCTGCAGACAGCACTAGATAGAAGCGTCTGTTCTCCTAAGGTTCCCCGTGCCCCCTGAGCCTTCAGTGAGTAGGATCAGGCCAGAAATTGGAGGGAAGCTCCCCTAAAACTCACTGTGTGAGCAGCAATCTGGGCACCTCCTCCCAGGGAAAGACGATGACAGAACAACTCCAGTCTCAACGGGAGCTACAGGGCTCTTGCTTCCTTCCTCAAAGCAGGGTGGAGGTTCAGGTCTCTCTGGACCGCAGCTGCATGCTTTGGGCTCTGCAAGCTAACCACACAACATGCTGCCATACATAGGTCTCTTGTTAAGCTTTAAGGGTGCAAAACTGGTGCACAAGCCCCACCACCCCTCTATGCAACCTGCAGCTCCCTTTCCCTGCCCTTGTTATTTGATAACAGCGAGGTATGTTCCAGCGTGAAGCCCATCAAATGTGTCTGAAAGGCCTTCTCAATCCTGAGCAAGAAAATCCTGCTTTTACAGATTTATGGTGAAGTGCTGAGTTTTCTCCAAAACCTTCTCTTCCTGTGAGCGTGGTACCATTTCCTTCTTTCTCTCTCCATCCTTTGAATGATAAAAGCTGCCCTACAGCTTTTGCAGCCTGTTAGTGGTTTTTAGCTTCTTCAGAGGAGTCTCAAAGCTTGCTCTTCCACAGAACTGGTGACATTTCCCAGGAAATACCATCATCCTAGTCGGGTATCTGCTAGAAGCTGTTCCTACCTTGCTGCAAGAAGGCAATGGACTCAGGTAAAGGCAGAGTGGTAGATTCTGTGCCCCGAACTATGGATGTACGCCCCATTCAGCAAACATGGGGGGGGGGGGGAAAAGACATTGAGCCTGAACATCAGTGAGATGAAGATGAACTGCATCTGCCAGAGGCTCAACTCCAATTTTGAGATGTTTTCCACTTATTTTCTCTGCCAGTTATTTAATAGCATGTTCAGCAGCTACATGATGATGTTCCTGCTCAGAGATGTAAACACAGGAACATCAGAGCTTCCTTACTGAAAGGCCAGTGCTCTACACTACTTCTAACCACCCAAGTGGCAGTCTCCTTTTGCAGTAGGAAGCTGTCAGTGCCCTTTGGAGCACCATTCTTCAGTGGAAAGTACAGCACCAGTGGAGGATGTTGCCCCTTGCAGGCACCCAGTTTACCCTTTGCAAGCTTTGTTGGGTCTCATGTCTTGAAAAATGCCCTAAATGTGCCTTAATATGGTCTGATAGTGGTTAGCAACATGCCTGGAAAAAAAAACATAAAATAAAATAAAAATAACAACAACAACAAAGTTGTTCCGACAGTCACATTGTTCTCAAGATATCATTTGGGTTTCTGATTCTGGAACAGAGAGGATGGATACTGCCCACCTGGTGAACTTGTCAGGACTGAGGCTCCAAAAATCATCCATCAGTGCCAGGTCTGCAACCTGCACCACAAATAATGATAAAAGGGAAAAAATGAGAAGTGTGAGGAAGGGGAAAGTCCAGCAGAGTTCACAGGTCACTCCTGCAGGGAAAGGTTGCATTTGCTATAAATCTACCGGTGCTTGCAGTCTCTCCCCTTTCTCTTGTAAACAGTCTGTTCCATAAGACCTGCCGTCAGAGAGCTGAAATTTGTTCAGTGCAAAAAACCCCAGAGTCTTACAAGTCTTTTCCTGGAAAAATTTGGCACCAAGTGTGTTGCTGGCTCCTGTTTCATCTGTGTGATGGCCTCGCATAGGCAGCACCCAGAATGCCACCTGCAAGTACCTGGGCTTCCCTGATGAGCAGAGAGGTCCAGTTCAGAGCAATGGACAGGGCAGTTGACTGGCGGTGGGACCCCCAGCTTCTCCTCGAGAATTCACACACTAGATCCAGGGGGAAGGAAAAAGGCAATGGATTTTTTTTCTTTTTAAAAAGAATCACCCAAGTTGTGGAGTGGTTTGCTCTAACACGGAGCCCCCGGCTCCCCAATTACAGTGGATATGCAGTGACACCAGAGGTTTCCCTCCTCCCCAACGCAGAGGATTCCCACCAAAACACGGTGCTGTGCACTGACTTGGCTTCCCCTCCTTGCACGTTAGTCTTGCACACTGAACATCTGCTTCTTCAGAGTCTGACAGGCCGAGCAGCTCTACTGATCCCTCCGCAGAACCGAAGATGTTCTACTACCACCTTTCACCACGTCGCTCTGAGGAACAGGAGGGGAAAAGGGGAGGCAGAAGATATTCATCGACATTTTCTGACAGGGCTGCTGCTCAAGCTGGTCCCAGGCAGGTGGAAGCCAGGAGGGGCTGGAAATCTCGCCATCGCTGGCCTGCACACGCTTGCTCTCTCTCACACACCAGGTACAGCAGGTGAAGGCTTGAATTCAAAGGGGGCTTCCACTCCAATGGGCAGGTACCAGGTTGGAGGGGTGGTCTGGACTGGAGAAACAGAAGGAGCTGCACTGGATTTTGGGCAGAACAGCAGGGTTGTTCTACGAGGACAGCACAGGGGCACAGCAGTTGGCACATTGTTTTGTCTGACTGCACGTGTGGGTTTTTTTTTTTGCTTTTGCTCTTTCATTTTAATGCACACTGCCAGCATCTGGACGAGGTTGGTTGGTGGCGAGGTATTTGGCTCTCATGCTGGAGGTGTACTGGAGGAAGACAAGACAGAAAAAAACAAAAACAAACAGAACAGGAAAGTCAGAATGACTAATGTCATCATGGAACCACAGATTACGACCACCTCCTGGCAGAAGCTGGTCTGTATTTACAGCATATCAAGGAAGTGCTGGCTTGGTCTGACAAGGAAAGTTTCACAGGTAATGATGTAGTTGAGTCTGAGTGACAGACACTCAGATTGCTGCAGGGATGCAGTGCAGATGGGTTAACTTTTTACTCAAACTCTCTACAGAGAAAAATCTCCAACAGTCATTCAATCTGAAAGCGTAGAAAATATTCTACACTTCCCTTGAGAGAAGAGCTGGAAATGGAAAAGATGCAGAGGTAAAAACCCATCTCACACCTTCATCCTCCTTCAGTCGTGCTGCCCTCTTTCAACCACGTCAGAAAAGGAGGTTGCAAAGAAACAGCTGTATTGTATTTTAAGCAAGTAAGGGCTTCAGAAGCCTGCATGCATCACACATGGGCTGCCTCGAAGACTGGGGAAGAAAATCTGTGTTGAAGAACTTAGGCCCAAGCAAGAACAGATCCTGAGAGGCTGGAAACAGGCTGCCAAACAAGATGATCTCGGCTATCAGTTACCGCATGGTTAATTGCTCACTGTGGCTTGGGATCAGCCCGTGCACCATCCAATAGCAGACAAATCTCCAGTGTGGGGATAAGAAGAGAAATGCACAAAGATGAGAAGGATTTTTTGTTTTGTTTTTAAATCTATCTAGCAAAATCATCTAAAACAGTTCCCAGAAGCGCCTGAAGTTGACATGTGCCATTCAGCTTTGAATGCTGAGCTAAAAAGCACGTAGATACACAGTAAAGTAATAAGAATAAAAGGCTTATCCTCTTTACACCAGTGTGTTCAATACCCTCACCATGACCACGTGATTGTTTCTGGGATTCCACTACAATGATACTAAGAACCAGGCAGTGAGGACAGACATTTTTCTTCTTCTTTTTATGCCAGCTGGAACTTGAATAATTCTGCAACATCCGCTTCTTGCTTCCCAAGAGTGCTCTTCAGCATCCTGAATTTTTGTCACCTTTAAAAGTGTATCACATAAAATAGCCAGATAAGCTGGCAAAGAGTTAATTGAAAGGCCACTTCACAGCAGACAGTAGGATTTCTCTTGCCCACCGGGAAAGAGCATTAGGAGGTATCTTTAGGCTCCAAAAGCTGTGAGGCTCCACTGTGCTCCAAAGCACAGTGATCTAAAGGGAGTTTCAGAGAATTAAGAGTATTTTAACAATTTGCCTTCTAAGGCAGAACTGGGTTTAATTTCAGCCCTACACAAGATACACACTGCTGCCTTCACACAGTGGGTCCCATCTGCACAAAAAGAAGGTATTTGTGGATTATTTGCATGCTCATCTTTAAGTCTTCTATAACTGGAAAGCTTTCTACAGAGCACAGATCTTAATATAAACCTGTGGCTCAGAAATAGCATCTATATTTAGAAAACAAAGGGTACATCTTTTCTCTCTTTGCAGATATTTTTATCAGTGAGAAAGAAAAAGGTAGAAAATACCAAGAACTAGCCAGTTCTAAGGGCTATGTTCAGTTAATTAAATATGATTGCTGTTTCAGAAAAAAATAGGGCATTATTAAACATATGAGAGTTTAACCCAGTGGGCTCAGAGTGGCTTGGAAGTCAACAAAGAACTCTCTCAGAGGATAAGTAGGCCACTACTTTCAGACAAAGCAATGCTGAATTTACCAGCGAAGCATGATGTTAAGATGAGAGGCTTAGAAGGAAAAATGCTTTTGATTGCTTGCTTCCCATTTATCTTCTATATGTGGACTGTGAGAAGAGATGAATATGAACAGAGAACTTCAGTTGCTAGAGTTTTATACTATAAAAAGTAATTGGAAGAAAAAAATATCTATGATCATGGAAACTTATTGTGCATCTTCCTGGACAAATCATACAGGTTCAGATTATAGCATGCAGCATCAACTTTTAGACGATTAAAATAAAGATTGGCCACTTGATGAACATGATTTCAAAGATGTACAAAGTACACCCTCTGGGGAGGGAGAAGCTGAAAGAAATTCACTCCTTCCCCCACCAAGAAACATCCCATAGTTGTTTTTGTCACCAAAACAAAGTAGTCTGCAACAGAAGATTTGGATAGTCAAGCAGAAGGCGTTTCATATTCCAACCTACCTGCAAATCACCATAAGGAACAAACCAAGATTCAGAGTAGTCAGAGTTAGGGCTGATGTTCTCTCCTTAACTTCAGCATTTTGGACCTTTGATCCTTTTCCCATTATAGTTTGAACAGGTTACTGCCTCTGTTAAAGTTTTGTTTTGATTTTAATTGCCGTGAATAATACGGTTGAAATCTGGAAGCAGGGAGCTACCAGTTCACTGCACCCCTCTCACAACCAGCTCAGCTCCAGGATGGGGCACTGAGCCTTTGGTCACTGCATTGGTGGTCACCATATGAACGCTTTGCTCCACAGGCTACTGACACTAAGTCCCTCATCCAAGTCCTTCAGTGCATCCTCCGCCGGGAAGCAGAGGGAAGATGCTGTGTATGCATTGCTACCTGTGAACAGGCCAGAAAGCTGCCAGTAACATAATATGAAACCAAACACTATTATCCAAACACTTAAAATAACTGAGCCTTCAGCTACTTTAAAAAGCAATTCTCAAGATTTTGAGCATAAGTGAAACAATTCAGAGCTAAGGTTATCTTAGAGTTTACTCTGGGGTAGCCTGGATACATTGCCTCACAAACCATAAGGTTGTATTTAATTTCCTTTTAAGAGGAGCTTTCATAGAAGGTTGAAGAACATGCACAGAGGATTCCTCCAGGATTCTGGCCTGCAATGCCTGGGTTCTGTATATCCTCATTTGCCCTTTAAAGAACAGGACAAAGGGCAAATTTAAACCCATATCTTCCTCACACTGTTAGCTACCATATTCTTGTAGTTACCATTTCTTCAGGTGGCTTTTGCTACCCAAAACTCTGGGTCACTTACCGCTCAGCTAGAACAGAGGGTTGCATACAAGCTTATTTGGTTCTTCTTAAATTAAAAAGGTTTCTCCTTCAGAGGGTATAATGTGCTTAACACATTTAGTCTGCATGCAAAGGAATCACTGTTGCAAAAATATCAGCGAGAGAAGTAGGTCATTTTAAAGACCATAAATTTTAAATTTTACCATAAAGCCCGGTGTACTCTGCAGATCACTGGTACTTCACATGTAACTGAGCTATGTTGGAAGATCACTTACCCTGTGAAACCATGACGCCAGGTACAAACTTTAGCTTTTTGCAGTAAAAAACAAATCCAAACAAAGAAAAACCCTCTCTCCAACAAAGATCAAAGCTGCTGGATTCAAGTTCTTAAAGACTGATCCACATCTCAAACAACTAGAGCACAGTAGAAACACAAGGCTTGGTAACACTTTGCATGGGAGGTACAAGATGGAGGGAAACAGCCTATTGCAGCCAATAGGCTCTGAATTCAAAGGGGACTTGAAGTTTTCCAAGTCAGAAGAACAGACTTTCTGTTCATTTTGTTTGTTTTTAAAGTCTTGGAAAGAATGCAATGCCTTTAACTTAGCCACGCCACCACATTAAACTCCGGGTGCGACCTTAGATAAACAAAAGGCAGCACAGACTGAGATGATGTCAGGTTTCAACCCAGGGGATATTTCATATCCAGAATGAAGCTTCTAGAATTCCCCCCCCCCCCCCCCAAGCAGTATTTTGTTTCATAGGATAGACCTATGGGCAGTGTTCTAACATCACTACAATATCACCTGTAGGAGAAAGCAAGCAGAAAACCCACCAAGAGCTCAGCCTAAGAACGGTCTTTGCAAGACTTGAGACCAAAGACCTTGGTGACCCTTCCAGGGGCACTAGCTACACCATGCTTGAAGAGCAAACACGAGTTTGCGTTCATGCACCATGGCAGGGGGCATCAAGACACCGGCTTCGGACAGCGTCTTTCCCAGCACATCACAAGGCAGGCAGACAAATGGCAAGAGGCAGCAAGAATGCAGACCAAGCAGCAACATGACAGAAAGGAATCCAGTGCAAGGCTAACAAAAGTCCCAACAGGAACTGCAGAAGCGAAGGAACGGCAGCTTTATGGACATGTCCTTCTGGGAACAAAACATAAGATAGGGGTCACTGACTGCATGAGCCAAATGCGAAGGGCCCTCTATTCCAACTGGAACCAACATATCCCAGTTCCTCTGCAGCTGCAGTTCCCTCTGAATGAGCACACTGTCCTCAATACCAGATAATGAGTTGCCTGGGAACTCTAATTAGATCCTACATTCAACCAAGCTAAAACTAACAAGGCCTAATGCAGACCACCTACGCTTTCGTTATGCATGTGGCTTTGTCATGGACCACTGCGAGGGAAGAAATACTGGCTCTCTTGGAGAACAGGAGCAACAACAGCACATTAAGGATTCAGACAGTGCAATGATACTAGGAGGGCTCTGCTCAGAGCCTGGGGAAATGGGAGGAATGATTTGACACACACAAAACAAATAAAACAGAAAAAGGTTTTGAAACAGAATGAAATAGATCTTAGTGCTTGTGTTTGTGTTTCCCTTAGGGAAGCTGTTTTAAAACTTACTCCTTTCTGACTTCAAATGCAAAGATAAAAGGAGAAGCTGCACATAGATCTAACAGGCAGTGAAACCACTCTTTAGGACAGGCCACCATCACCAGCCAGGATCTTTCAACAAATTAAAAAAATCCTACTAAGGAGCTCAAAACACATGGCAGATAAGTATCTGCGGTTTGGGGCACACGCTGTTTTGACCAATCAAGGCAAACAGAAGAGCTGCAGGGCTCCAGGGAAGCCAAAAGGTTGGAACAAGACAACCAGTCCTGAGTAAAAAGCTGCTAGATTGGTTCTCATTACGTCTAGAAAATGGCTCCTTGTGAGGGGAGAAACTCCTCTCTGCATTTGAAATGCAAGGCAAGTTCTATATTCGAGTGTTAGTGCTAAGCGTTCGAGCTGCTCTCAAGGGTGGACTCCAAGTTAAGGCAGCCCTGAGCTTGGCATAGGTCTCTTGCCATCACAGCGTGCACCAGAAGCCTTTCCAAGGTTGATAGCACTCCTTGGGTCTGCGGCAGAGCAAAACTGATTAGTTTTAATCCCTGGCAGGAGGGAATGGGGTGGGGGGTGCAGAGGGAAGGAATGTGAAGAAATAAAAGGCACTGGCCTGGGATAAACAGTGCAGGGATGAAGGGGGTGGTCTGGAGTGGAGAAAGGGTTGAGCAAGAAGGACCTTTTTTCTGTACCTGTTCCATTTGCGGGCGCTGTTACCAGTATGTCCGTGCACTGTCCGAGGGCTTAAGCTGCCAGCTCATATGGCTGCTACTGTCCATGGCAGCCAAATACAACTGTGATGACGCAAGAAAGAGAGAGAAAAAGAGAGTGCAGCCTCAACGTGCATGAAAAACACAGTGCAAGCAAGTGAAACGCTGTGGTGTGTGTCAGTGACAAGGTGGACTCTACAACCCTAAGGGAATAGCCCTGAGGCAAGAAGGAGAAAAACAGAAGGAATGAGAGAAGGAAATAAAAACAAACAAACCAACAAACAAAAAGCCAGGAAAAGTAACAGACATACAATGCAGCAGGATCATCACATCTTAGTTTTCACCATCTGTTCTCAGAAATGAAGCTGTATGGAAGAGATCAGCTCTGTCTTGACTCTATTTGGATGGCTACCCCATCTCCCCCTCCCCAAAAGGAACGTGCACATGAGCATCCATATGCTCTTCTCATCTCTCTCTTCGCTGATAATTTGCCAAGATCAGGTCTTGCAAGTTCTTCCACCTCAGAATGGTCTCAGCTCTCTACTGTGGAGACCTGGGTATAAAAATCCCAGCGAAGTCCCTCTCCCTGCTGCTGCCGATGTGACAGGACAGTAGACATCTTCCTTTTCTCAACTGCTCACCTATAACCAGTATTTCTCTCTAGAAAACTCACTTATCCTATAGCCTAATCCTTGCTTTGTCTAGGGAGAAGCTCCTGCTGTCTATGTGGGAGAGCAACGTAATCTCCTCCCCAGCTCCTACACTCACTTAAAAAAACCACTCTTCTTCATGATCTTTCTCTCAGATTGCAGTAAGGGATCAAGATTCAGATCCCCAAGGTCATTAAAGCTGGCAGTTACCCAAAAAGCAGGGAACCTGTGAGGGTGACAGAGCAGTGGAACAGGCTGCCAAGAGAGGTGGTGGAGTCTCCTTCTCTGGAGATCTTCAAAACCCGCTTGGACGCAGCCCTGTGCCACATACTCTAGGTGATCCTGCATGTGCAGGGGGGTTGGACTAGATGACCTCTAGAGGTCCATTCCAACCTTAAGCATTCTATAATTCTATGAACCTCTTGGTAACTAAAGCCCTCGCAGAAAGGGGTGTGCTTTTTTTTCTGAAGCAGAAGAACTACAGGGACAGGGGAGGCAGGACCTTGACCTAGTCTCTGAACTCAGTATGTGCCTCAGCGTTGCCAGAAGGACAGTGCCCTTCCTAAAAGAGGAAATGCCAGCAGTAAAGCAGGCATTAGTCACACTTTGTCACACTGTACTGCGTGTAGCATGTCAGCTCCTCTCCTGATGCCTGTCACTGCTGAGAGCAGATAATGCTACCAGAGCTTGCGTTCAGAACACCAGGGATCAGGAAAAACTCTCTATTTCTAAGAAGGTTGCAAGAGGTTAGCCAAACACAAAGACAAGGATCAACTTTCTGGCCCATCACTTTGCTCTAAGGTGAGATGAAGTGTTCATTCTGAAGGGAGTAAATGAAGGTGATGTTCCCCACTCTCCACCACAGTTCCTATTCCTTCCTCCGCCAATCTCTTCTTCCTCCCCTTATAATAAGCTAGAACAGAGCATCCCCCCAGAGTATATCTTCTTTGCCTATATCCAAGGACTAGCTACTTATTAAACATGCTACTACTCATTGCCTGTAATGACATCATCAAGTCAGTCAGCACTGTGATGGTATGTTCTCCAAGGTCCAAAGTGTAAATAAGGTTTACAGGATCCAGTGAAGGAGGGCAAGACTCATCTAGTTCTTACATACATGAAAGCAAGCCTGTATTTTATCCAGCATATAGAAATGGCTACCAGGCCACTTCAAATACCAAAGCCTTCCATGAAAGATTTCTTTCTTTTTTTCTTTTTTTCTTTTTTTTTTTTTTTTTTCTCTCCAGAGGAAATTAAATACAAAAATAGATTCTAAAGAAAGCAAAAGAGCTGTGAAAAAAAAAAAGATTAAAAAATAAATCTCAAAAAGAAAAAAAATACAAGTTTCATCTTATTATCTCTGCAGGGCAGATTAAGGAGAGAGGTTCAGCAATAACTCTGAATTTACTGTTTTAAGAAGTTTCTTTTTAAACTTGAGGAACCAACGTCACAGAGAGCAAGTAACTGCATGCAAGTGAATCATCTTGCCGAAGTCGCCCACCAAGATACTCATGCAATTCAGTGGTGGCAGGACTGGGCCCATGGGATTATCAAGGTCAATAAATTTAGTGCCATCATTTTTATAACCATGCCCAAAAGCGGCATAGCGGGGTTCTGTTCTCCACGGCAGGTGAGACCCGGCTTGTCCATTAAAATTGCTGCCATTTATGGGCCAGGTCCTGTTTGGCTGCACCATCAGCTCCCTTCGAAGTACACCAGAGTGGTAAACGTGTATTCCCCCAAAGTTGCTGAAGCAGAGAGGAGCAGTGAAGAGAGACTTACTGAGGGAGGTGGGGACTCACGGCCAATGAGCGGGGTATTCTCGCAGCGGGGGTTCTGGAAATTTGCATTCTGGCTCCTAGGAAAGGAAGACACACATGGTAATAGGGGGATGTGCCACACTTCTCTGGGGAAGGTCTCTGACAGTGACACAGGACAGAGCACATGCACCCTCAGATCTGTTATCTCCGCTCAGTCTCCCTCCAGGCCAGGTGGTTCCCTTTCTCAGGTAAGGGCATAAAGCTGTCATATTTTTCCCCTCATCAGATAAAGCGCTGACTTTATACTCTCACTCTGAAGGGCCCATGTTGACTGACTGAAAAAATAAATTAAATTAAAAAAAAAAGTTTGTGTGAGATCTAACTTCTGACAGAGGCAGAACTGCCAAGCTGCAGAAAGGAGATAAAATAAGGACAAAGTCTAAGAGGAAGGAAAAAAAAAATGATGCGTCAGTCCCAAAGAGATGAGCCTTGAATGTAGTCAAAGTGTGATCTGGGTAAAGTATCTCAAGAAAGCTCTGAAGGTCCCAGCTGAATTATATAGCTCCATATTCCAACAAATATCAGAGCTGACCCCAAATGCTATGAAAGGACGCAGCCCGCAGGACTTGTCACAGCTCTCAGTCTCTCAGGAGGCTTAACATGCTCTGTCAAACCTGCTCTATCTGAAGAGCCAAATCTGCTGGGAATTGGAACTATTGTGTAATTAGCAGCCTGGGCAACAGTTTACCTCTTCTTCTCTGTAGACAGATTTCTAAATCCTGCAGTGCAAAGTGGTTCGCATTTTTGAGTAAGATGCCTAATACAACCCTTCCTACGGCAGCACTTTGAAGCAATTCCACTGTCCCAGGAGATGACAATAGGAAAATATGCCTTCTGAGACTTCAAAGAGCATCCTTTATCGCTTCCGCTGCTTGGTTACGAGTGCCACCCTTGCAGCAAGTTCTCTTAGCTGCAATAAAATGAGGCAAGCTGCAATATGGCCTTCTTCTTGGGATACTCACATGTACTCTGTGACGGGAGCATTGCTGACTGTGTGTGCTGCTGCTGGAATGCTGGTTTCACTGCCATAACTACTCCCACAGCTATAGAGGCTGGGCATGTGCACTCTGTAAAGATTATCATGTGTTTGTCTATTCCCTTGAGCGGTTGATTCGTCTTCCCCATCATCATCCGAGCTTCTGCAAGAAGGAAAAACAGTTCCTCCTAGAACCCTACAATTACCACACAAGAGAGGTTTACAGGAAACCATGGTAATCCTAGGAACCTCCCAATCATCTTCCACACCTCCACATTTATACCCATTCGGGATGCCTCAGTGTGGCAGTGTCAAACACTGCCTACAGCACAGTGACTCAGACCTCCCACAGGCACCATCTGGATTTTTAGACTGCAAGATCCCCTACGGTCCCCCGCTACACTCTTCTCAGGGCTTGGCAGACAGCACAGCTCTGCAATTGCCCAGTCACAAAACCAAAGGATGGGGATATGTCCTAAAATAAACAGTTTTTTTTTTTTTTTTCCATATCTAAAGGAGGCAGGGGGAGACAGTGCCATTCATCCTACGGAAAGCATCCCTCAAAGCTGCAGCCTGTGCCCTTCCACTTCTTGCAGCAATGTCCAAAAGGCTTTAACACTGCAGTCTTTCCATCACTGCAGACCTCTCCAAACTCCTGTGATTGTTACACAGGGCCTGCTTCAGCTTGTAAGAAAATTACTGAAGTCGGTGCATTGTCTAAACATCTGCATTTGTGTCTAGAGACTTTCTTCTCTCTTTAAATCGCTTTCAGTGCAGAGCAGTGCACTTTCCCCTTGGTTCCTTCCACTCTTCCCATAGTATTCTTTTGTCCCTACTATGTAATGCACTCTATTATTTTAGCTCCCTAATTATTTGAAATATATGAGCAATGATGGACAAAGTTAGTAAAAAGCTTTATGGGAAACATTTCTTGCCTGTGATGGCAGAGAGAATTCGGAGACAACAGGGTCAGAGCTGCAACATCTCAACCACCACCTGCAGTTTCTGCACCACAAGGTGGCACTGAAGATTTATTCAGGAAATTACAGCTGGCACAGTCTCTTACAGGCAATAAAGCATTATATCCTCCAGCTCCCTGAGGGAGGCAAAGGAAGAAATGGTGCTCCTGAGAATGCAAGAGGGAATTCCTCAATTCACAGCAGCAGCCTGAGCCTGCTGGGGTTGGCAGGGAGAGCAGGAATCCACATGGAAGGGAGCTCGAGAGAAAAGGCACGGTATAAAGCTTGCTTCTTCAAGAAGGGAGACTACCACCCCCTTCTCGACAATGCCTCTGCCTGGGGAAGAGCTAAGGAAAGCAGCCATTTTCTTAAGTGCTGTTCTGATGCATTTCCAAAGGCTTCTCCGTGGGCAAAGCAGACCCAGCAGGCCCAGGCTTCCTGCAATTGTTCAGGATGTTCCATTTTACCTTCCACCTGGAACCTGGGCTTAGGCCATAAAAATTGCATTTAGGATCACAGAAGAGCGTTTGCTGCAAAGTCTATCGTTCTTCTACAGGAGCAGAGCACTCAATGAAGCTACGTGGCAGCAACACGTGGTGCAGTAGCCCATCAGCAATGCCCTGGGAAGGTTAGATCAAGGCTTAATGCTCAGCTTGGTTACCACCACTAAAACTAGTTCCAAACAACCCTGTAGTTACGTGATCACCACAAATGAGCTTTTGCAAACTAGACCATTCCCAGTTCGTGTTAGCTATGCAAGTCAAGTGCCCTAGTTGAGCAAAGCCAAGAATGGCAAGACTGAACTACTGGTCATTTCAAATCTCTCTCCCTTACTAGAATCTCAAGTGATATAAAATTATATATATTATGAAAATGCCTCATAAATGATACAAAGAATAGGTATCGCACAGAGATAGCAGAGTTGAACGATTACCATTCTCTACAACTACAATAATTCGTCTCTAACTTGACCTGTTGTCCTACATGGTACTGAATACTGCACATAATTCCAGCATATTAAGGTCCAGATGTAAAAAACAACCACAGCCAGGGTAAAAGTCAGCACTATTTTTTTTTTTTTCTGTCGGACCTGTGCTTAAAGACCCTCGATCCCTCATGCTCCTGTAAGCATATGGGAAAACAGCTCCAGATGCTCACGGGCACAAATCCAATAGTCAGTCTTCATTAGGGAAGAGCTCTATAATGCAACGGGATCTACCCCCTCTCTATACCTCTTCTGCTGCCAAGTGTGTGGGACGCTGCACACAATGGAACTGAACATGAGGGCTGTGACAAAGGAGAAGAGAACCAAGTAGATGAGGCCTTCCACTCCATCGTAGCAAAAGCCTGTCAATGCCTGGACATAATCCTGCAAAGAGAAATAACCAGAAGTTCCTGATCACCAGACAGTTAACATAGGTCTCTAATTCAAGTGTCCTTCCCCCTGGACTGTCTCTGAAGGAACTTAAGACTTCACAGTCCTTTTGTCAGAGTACGTTCCTATTTTAGGACCTCAATATTTTTTTCATAAGCTGACCCAACCCTTATTTCCCTCACAAAGCCCATCTCAGATACAAAGATGAGAATACTTCCCACCTCACACAATAAGTAGGGAGGTGGGAAAGGCAAGATAAGCCTATCTATCCACCTAAATATAATACATTTTTCATTAAGCTGCTCAGCTCCTTCACTGTCTCTCATTGCCCAAGCATAGACTGTTCATATCTCTATCTTCAAAGATAAAACTAGGACAACAGACAGGCCATGTTATATTGCAGCTTTACATGGGAAAGGCAACAAGCCCAGGGCTATGGAAACAAATTAAAACGCCCTGAAACCTTAATGCTGCAGCTTGTAGATGTGTAAAGGCATGCTATCCAGTTTCCTGCACTGATCTTTTAACACTAAAACACAAACCCAACCTGATCCAAGTTCTCATTCTCCTTTCTGCTGCAGAAATCGGTAAAGCTGCTGTAAACTGCCTTGGAACACCAGAGATTTGAATCTTCAGGACAATCAGTCTGTTGAGGGCTCTACATCCCCTTTGGTCTTTCTTAGCTTAAGCCCAGGCACCAAGTACTCACCAAATGCAGACTCCGACAGTCAACTAGAGCTGTCAGTTGCTGCAAGTTGATCTCTGTTGAATTTAAAACCTCCTGGATCCGAGTAAGATACTCCTGTAAGCACAAACCAGAGATTATTGCGAGGAAAGGACTTTGCAGAACTGGTTTGGGGCTTTGTGCAGGGGAAAGCAGAGCCCAAAAGCACAAGGAGAGCAAGATTGAGGGGAGTTACCTTGGAGGTGGGATGCTCTTTGCTCGCTGATCGCATGAGTTCCAGAACATCATCCTGCATTTCCACCAGAGCCTTGTGACTTCCTGACAGCTTCTACTCAATACAAAACACAATGTTTCAGTCCTGAGCAGCAAGGCAGGCCACACGCACCAACAGAATTCCTGGGAAACAAGGCTTTCTCTCAAACACTGAAGCATGATCTGTACAAATGGATGCCTCGAGTCTGGAGACAAACTGACATGTGAGACATGTTCAATTCCAATACAGTTAAGTTTGACTTTAGATGGATACATAGAGATAGAAAAGAGACAGAGAGGGGAAAAAAAGAGAGGCAAAAAAGACCTGGGACCAGTTTAGGGGTTCCAGGACAGAGAAGGAGGAGAAAGAAGAGATGCAAAGTATTCATATACACACCACAGACCACAGTTGGATTCTTCTACTCAACCAAGTATATAAGAAGGAGTTAAAGTTGTTTATGTGAAGGTGCAACCCTCTCATCCCACTAAAGCATCCATGGGAATTTCATATGCAATTGCACGCCAAATCATATACTGAACAACCAGAAATTCAACTGATGACAATGGTGCATCATACCACAAATTGAAGTATTTTTCCCCCGCTCTTCAAAAGAGAAGACAACATGATTCAAAAAACTCCTAAATAAGAATTGTGGAGCAGCTGGTGTCTACCAACTGGTGGGTGGTGTGGGTTCATTCTGGCCTCTGATACACATGGCAAAAGGTTTGGGATGGGCCCAGGTGCTGTTCCTCAGCTCCCACACAGAAGAATAATATGACTCACATTTATACTTCAGGATACAAAACTTTAAACATCCAATGGATTTAAGAGGCGTATGTGAGAATTACTCCCTCCCCCACAGAGAGGTCTGCATTTGGGGAGTGGAATGTTGCCACTGTTTAACCCAAAAGAACCTGCAAGAGATTCAAAGCAGGCAGCATGGAGTTTCCCACCCTGGCTTTAATTGTGGGCGTGCTGGTTCCATGTCTCTGCTCTTAGAAAAGCACCATGTAAACAGGAGATACCTTGAGAAGCGCCGTGATCCTCACCACATCACACAGAGCCCCTCTCGGAGCAGCCAAAGGTGGAAAAACCCCTGTGCACTGCATCACAGTGCCACCTTTTGCACAGCTCAAAGGTGGCTACCAAGCCTTCACCAACACAGAGTGCTCTCTGAAGCTACAACCTGGTCACTTCCCTGTGCCGTGGCATTAAGGGTTTAACCTATTCCCTTTGAGAAGCTGGATGAAGAAGAGGGTTACGGGAGCTAGGATGCTTATACTCACCTGCTGGAAAGGGTTGGGGTATCCAGCACTGCAGGTAATGTAATAACGGAGAATATCTACAAAAAAAAAAAAAAAAAAAAAAAAAAAAAAAAAAAAAAAAAAAAAAAAAAGAAAGAAGTCATGCCAGGTATGTTGTTCCAGCTTTGCACCTTCTTAGACCTGCCACAAGGGAGGTGTTAAGTTCTGAAAGCAATACACAAAATGAGAATGCAATATACTTGGAATCATTTCCCTCTCTCCATGTAGGATTACAGAACATGATTCACTTTAGAGAAAAAAAAAAAGTTGCCTTTGTGGGATAATTTTTTTTTTTTAAATAATGAAACAAATGGTACAGTTAGGCAAATCATCATCAAAAAGAAAACATCTTTAGAAGCCAACACTATTCACAAGGAGTCCAACTGGAGATTTAATCTCTGCAATGTCTGAGCATTAGAATATACTCAGAGACCATCTGATGGTCTCTGTAAGCAACTAGAGGTACCCACTGCCTGGGCTACCCAATACAGAGAAATAACTATGAGCCAGTTCAGATCCTCAGCTATTGTCAAAAGACAGACTGGTTTGGGGCAGTGGTCTGCAGAAGAACAAAAGGAATTGCTCCTTACTGAAGGAAGTCATAGCTTTCAGCGAGGTTATTCCCTAAGAATGGTATCACTTTGAAAGCAAACACCACCATGGAATCTGCTGGCGGAAAGAAATGAAAAGTAGAAGAGATTCTTGATCTTCTGAAGAAAGTTAGGGTTGAATGAGTAAGTCTGATTTTTGTTTGACATCACTTGTATGTAATTAGACTTTAGCTGGAAGGTTTGAATTAGATTAATTATAAGAGCGTGTGTAGTTTATTTTGGATCTTTCATTTGACTCCAGCTCCCCCCAAAAAAGTTATTTTCTGCATTGGTCAGGGATGAAAACTCTTAATGGATATTGGGATACTAGCAACACATTATCCTGTTCAAGGGACTTCAGATCATTTGCTTATATTATCCCAAGAGCCTTAATACTTAATTAACAGTTCTATCAGTGATCACAGAACACTGAAGACTTGCATCCAGATAAGCAAGTCAGGGAAACTGCAGCCTGTCCTGGGCTTGAAAACACACTCTGCTTCTTTGTATTCAGGGAGTGTTAGATCAGCCTGATGTTCTCATGAGCCCTCGCACTCCTGCGCCTGCTGCATGCAGGACGTCAACACACACAGATTTGAAATATCCAGACTTTCCTCTGTGATTCTCAATTAGGCTGTAGGGGGAGAGAGTTCTGTGAAAGGCTCAGTTGTCCCAATACTTTCAGACTAATTCTCAAACGTTTTACAGGTCCTTTCCATATTAATTTTGCTGAGCTGACGTACTTCCATGCAGGACAAAATTTGCTCGGCTGAGGCAAAACATACACGTGCTTTGCCTTCCTCTACCATCACCAGCATGTTTTTCCATTCTTTTTAATCTTCTCCCTGGGACTTTCAGGGCAGCACGGCCCAGGTCACAAAGGTATTTTAACCAGCCCCAACTCAGAAAGCAGGAAAACGCATGACCACAAGCAAGCCGGAGTGCTAAGGAGGCAGACCCGACTGCATTCCGATTCTGCCGCACTTCCATAAATATTGCATGCGCCTCTCGGCAAGCCTACACGCTGGAGACCAAGTGCTACAATGCAGACTGCCAGCTCCTGCACGCTGCCCGTGCAACCTGACAGCTGTTATTTATAATTCATTAGCCTACTTTGGGGCAGCTTCTGCCAGCTGCTCCATCGCCCTCCCCATCAAATCCTTCTCGGGGATGACTTATGTCTCCCCTTCAGCCTCTAAACAGCAATTAGCAAAATGTGGGCAGATAGGAAGAGCTTTACAGGCCTCACTTTGAGCAGGCCACACAAACTAGTGTGCACAGTCACTAAGCCGAGGAAAGGATTGCTCCTCCAGGCCCATAAATCATGCAAAATGGCTAGGGAAACATGGGTTAAAGACCCTTGCACTCAAGGAGGAGCACAGTAACAGCACTCCCCAGCATCACACACTCACGCAAGGGGTTCTGGTGTAGTCATTTATTTATTGTAAACCAATAGGCCAGTAAAATTTTCTCATAGGCTTCCCCTCAACAGTATTACATCATCTTTATAGTGCATAATGTTGCATAATATACTACTAATACAGGGCTTCAGAACCATCTTTTTAGGATCTTGTGAGTCATTCCTGGGGGGAAGGTTATAGATAAGTCTTCCAAATACCATCATATTTTGCAACCTGTGGGCCCAGTGTCAAAGACAGCCTGGTTGCAAGGACATTAAGTTCAGCCTTACCCTGCAGGTCACTGTGACGATTTAAAACCAGTGCTGCAAGAGGCAGTGAGGCTGTTTTACAGCGAGTCTGTGCCACGGAGCCTCTAAGTGAAGCACCAGGCAGGCAAAGGCAGCAGAGCAGCAGGCACTGCAACCTTTGCAGGTTTTCACCCTGGCAAATGACTGTCCTCTACAAGACAAAAATCTCACATTTCAGCGCAGAAAACAGCTGTACTATTCCTCATTTGCACACTAACAGTCCTAGCCGCTCGCTAGAATTACTCTTCTAATGCATTTTCCTCTTAAGGAACATGCCTGAAGGCTGGATCTAGTTTCCCAAATTGGCCTGTTAGGGCTGCAGTGTGCAGGAGAGGGGCTGGTCAGGGTCACAGCAGCAGCTGCCTGCGCCTGCTGGTGCTCACGGCGGTCCTGACCCACTGTCCCCACGCGCAGGCAACCGGAGAGCAGAAGGCTAGGAGGGGAACCACCCCAATTGCTTCAATTTTGCAAAGTCTGTTTTTCCTAGAAGGAAAAGTAGAACAGCCTAGCGGAGTCAGCTTCAGCTGCTAGAATCCACTTACTGTTTCTGCAGCCAAGGAGATTTACTATTCGTTCCTAAAAAAGCTCTGCAGAATGCAAAAATGGCACTGCACGTGCCAAGAGGCGGCAAGGAGGGCTGCAGGGTAAAGAGCAAGCACAAAAAGGGTTTATAAAAAAGATTATTTTCCCAGCCCTTCTTCCCCTCTACCTGAGCACTAAATGGCTTCCAGTTCACCTTTTATCCCCCAGAGGAAACAGTCTGCCTGAGTTTGGTTCCTGGGGAAAGCTGAAGAGCATCACCTGGGATGTCCAAGGAGGGAGACTTTGAGTCAGCTGTTCTTGCCCAAGTAACAGTGACATATCTTCCACCAGGCACCTTGCTTACCGAAAGCGACAGTCGAGGGCAGGATCTGCAGGCCATTTGTGTTCCTCACAAACACACTGCTCTTGTACTGGTAAAATCAGGCCAGTCACCACAAGGTTTTGGCACCGAGCTTCTGGCCAGTGAGAGTGCTGTGCGGCCAAAGCTTCCTGCTCGTGGGCAGTTCAGCAAAACCGCACGGGGAAGCGCGGCCTCTGCAAGCCAACATTGGCTCAACTGCTCTGCAGAATCACAGAATGGCTGAGGTTGGAAGGAAGCTCTAGAGATGATCCAGTCCAACCCCCTGCTCCAGCAGGGACACCTAGAGCACGTGGCACACGGTAGCATCCAGGTGGGTTTGGAAGATCTTCAGGGAAGGAGACTCTACAACCTCTCGGGGCAGCCTCTTCCAGGGCTCACAAGAAAGAAGTTCTTCCTCACATGGAGATGGAACATCCTGTGTTTTAAGTTGTACTCATATCGCCTAGTCCTGTCACTGGCCACCACCGAGAAGAATTTGGCCCCATTCTCCTACTTTCTCTCCTCAGATATTTACACATATTGATCAGATCTCCTCTCAGTCTTCTCTTCTCTAGGCTAAACAGGCCCAGTTCACTCAGTCTTTTCTCATAAAATAGATGCTCCAGTCCCTTTGAAGCTCCTCTTGGGATGCTCGTGGAGCCCACTGCAAACAGCACAGGCCCTGGAGACTCCCTCAGGCTTGCTCACGACACAGACTTCCAGTAGGAGAATAACAAGAAAGCTCTTCCCAAACTTTAGACAGATTGGGCCTTTTTGCTTAATTTTATTCACTAAGTCATTTGATAATCGCACAATATCAGGCAAAAAGAATGAGACTTGAAGATGGCCTCCTGCTTTGAAAATAAACATCTTGGCTGCACCAAGCCCTTTTACTAGCAGCAGGAGTTGATTATACAGTCACTGTTCAGCTCCATTGGCTTTATCTCAATTAATGAATACTCAGCGAGTTAGACACATATATCAGCCTCTTCTGGAAAATGATTTAAGTCACTTTTCCAGGAAACCTGCTTTACTGCTTTCTGCCTCCTCCTTCCAACCCCACCCCTTCTTTTTAATGCAGCAAATTTTTATCTACACAAAACGGACATCTCTCCAGCTAAAAACATGGCAAGTACAATAATGCACTTAATTGGATTATTCTCAGCTCCATTAGTTCTATTTAGGTCTGTAAATAGCAATTAATACAAACACACTAAAAAGGGAATATTGATATATTTGTTGCTCAGTATCCAAAGAAAATATGCTGTCATTTTGCTGGGAATTCTACTGCAAAAAGCAAAACACAACAAAAAAAAAAAGCAAAAATCACAATGTGGATATGCAAACCTAGATCACTCGCTCCTACTCTGAATGGTAAAGTGTAGGGCTGAGAAAAACATACATACATATAGCATAATGTGTTAAAAAAAAACTACAAAATATCAACTGTTGGGAAAAGCTGAACCAGCATTGAAGTCTCTGGTTGCTTTATGTTTAAGATTAAGGACATAAAAGCTGCTATAACATGTAGGATTACAAGACAGCATCTAATCCTGTGGTCTGTACCCTAGCACAAAAGCAGACACACAGGGAAGACTAAAACCAGAGGACTGCTCTCCCCATCATATTGCCAGCTGAAGAGATTTCCAAGATAAATTCGCTGTTTCTCTATAAACCTCCCAATTCTTCATCCTTTGACTTTGATTCTCCCATTCAACCCACACAAAATCTTTCAGAAGCCACCACAGTCTTGGACAAGGAGTCTCAGAGTGCAACTGCCTGCTGGAAAGAGCCTCATCTCCTCTGGGTTGAGCCAGTTTTATTTGATACTCTCTTCTTTTGCTTTTGTTTCCCAAAATAGTAACTACCAACTCCTATCCCCCTTTCTCCTTGCCATTCATGATTTTATAGATGAAATCCTCTCTTAGTCATCTCTTTCCCAAAATGGAAAGTCCATGGTCCGATACACTCCGGTGAAACTAGTGGGAGCAATTTTAAAGTGTTTGTCTCCATTTATCTACACTGCCAGTTATGTTCAAGGGCAACACCCAAAGAGCAGAGGCAGCAAAACAAAATGTCAAGAGCCTCTGCACCAGAAGCAGAGACCTTGAAAGGGGACAGCTTCCTTCATGAGGACAGTAATGGCGTTTGCCTTGCCTCTCATCAGACCGTCGTGCTTGTTGTTGATGGCCCAGCTGGTCACAAAGCAGCTGCTGCAATTTATAGCCGAGCTTATTAAGGGACAGCAGCGCTTATTCCAAGCATTCAAGGATGCTTTCATGAAGCCATTATTGGGATTCAAGTGTCTTTGAACAATTCCACCCTGAAGTCCTCACGTCATGATTTTCCTTCCTGCTCAGGTGCACAAACACTTCCAGTGATGGGGACCAGGAGGCATTTCCACAGTTTCCTGAACATAAACTATGACATAGTAGTGAAAATCCATAGGGGAACACAGAACATATGACCACCAGCTGCCTGGAATGACGACAAGCTCAGGAATTGGTTTGATTTCCTTTTCTTACAAAAAAAAAAAAGAAAAGAAAAAAAAAAAAGTATTGTGTTCACAATACTAGTTGTGGGGGAAAAACACAGTAGCTAAGCAAGGCAGATGAAACAGGGAAGTTACATAAAGAGACGGGGTTTTCAGTTTCTCCGGGTTAACCTATTTATTAACCAAACTTGCTCCAGAGCTGACTGGGGCTACCAAGTTATTACAGCGCACAGACAGTCGTAGCATCGAGCAGGTTATTTCCTCTTGGTCTCCTTGTTTGCAGCCTCCAACAACAACGAGACTTTCTGGTAACCAAAACCACATCTTAGTCATCTTCACAATGGGAGGATTCTTATCTGGTGCAGTATTAAATACCAATAGTCTTTCCTTATTGCATTTCTTTGTTTCAAAGACTTCTCTGTATTGAGCTGCCTGGCTTTCCCCTCTCCTTCCCAAGAAATCAATAAATAAGGCATTCCAAGAATAAGCTGTAGGGTAGTAATATCAACCTGTACATGCTCTGTTATACTACATTCTGCCTCCAGACATAAGCATTTCTTATTGCTTCCAATCCCTGCACCATCAGCCATAGCTACATACCTAATTCCCTTTCAATTACACAGTAAGAGGCAGCATTTGGCTATGGGCAGGCAATGCGCTGCATCTTCTGAATGTTGGGCAAAGATTCTCAGATTGCAGCAAATCAGAACCAGAAAAACATAAACAGCTAGTGATCACAGCCATTGCTTATTTGTGATTACCTTACACAGAACTAGGGAGGGAACATCAAACATAGGAGGAAAAAAAGTTTACTTAGCAAGAAGTAAAAAAAGAAAAGAAAGAAAAGATAACAGTAAGTGCTAAAAAGGAAAGGTATTTCTGCCAGTGGGCAAAAGCCTAGTGAAATTTTACTACTGAGTCTGTTGTGAACACCAGTTTTGCTCCTTAAGGCCCCAAATGGAGGCACCCCTCATCTCGCCAACCCCTTTAGGCTAAATTAGGAGTAACAAATGCCAAATCAGCCAGGGTTTCAGTTGAATGTCACTGTGAGGAAGACACACTGTTTTAAATGGAAAAGGGTAAACAAAGGAGTTAAAATACTGCATTTATAATAGAAAAGGAAAGCCATACTTCTTTCTACTTTCTTTCTACTCGTGTTTCAGTTCATTTAACCCTTTAAAGTATTTTTATATATTCCTATTTATAGTCACTATAGGAAATTACATATATATTTGGTAACAGATGCAAGAATATACCAATTCCAAGGAATATAGACCCAAGAGAATGTTTCTGAAAAGGCAACTTAAACTGCACACTATTGCCACAACTTTGTCACGCAGATAGCAGTAACAAGATCAAGAGTGGTACATTTAAAGAAAAATAATCCAGGGATTTCTGTTGTTCCTTCTTTTTAGTTATTTCCACCTGAGGGCAAGACAGAAGACAGGCTCAGAAAGTTCTTTGACAAAACATACACGTTTGTACTTCTGACTCCAGTGGAAATGCTTCTTTGGAAAGAACTTCCATAGGAAGGTGGTCTTTTAGAGCTCCACAAACATCTGCTTTTCCCAGTGTACACAAGTTTCTGGGTTCCAAATGTACCATTGAATTCCCTCAGCCACTGCCACATTCCAGCGTTACAGATGGAGCCACAGGACTCCAGGCCTAAGCCAGTCCCAAGGTAGCACTTACCAGTACTAAGCACTCCATTATCCTCAACCACTTTGGAGACATAGGCATCAGGGTTAATACAGAAGTCACTGGAGCCCTAAGTAGGTGCAAGACAAAAGGGAAAAGGAATATCAAAGAACAGCATTATCAAAGACCAGTTGAGCCAGGTTAACATCAGAGAACACTCTACTCTAGAGGCATTTTCTGAGGTTAAGGTCTCTCATCATCGTCCCACTAGCACTGCTTTACTCACCCACAGCAGCACTGGAATACTAGCTAGGGACACATGCTACAGAGGAAGAGCTCTGAACATTTCCTTGCTACAGAGCAAGAGCTCTGAACCAAGCAGCTGAACGTGGCAGTTACTTAGAACAGGACACTACAGAACAGACGTGGTGTAACATGCACTATTAGCAATTTATTTCTGTGTCCAATAAACTTACAGCAAAGGGTGAGCTGGATTTGGCTCCGGGCTACTTACCACAGCAACAGCCAACTCCAGACCCAAGGATCCCCAGCTGATAATCAGGGCAAGCACCCCAAGCAAGCACACCCTGCAGAAAACAGATAGCAGATGTAAAGGCTCTAATTCAAGTATCCAGATGCTCTGGCAAAATATTATTATTTGAGTCCAAAGTGATGGGCAAGAAAATATCAACCACGGTATCTTCAGATAAACCATCCTACTTTATATGTCATGGCAGCAGCAATTAGAAAAGCTTATGGCCAGTTGTTGGCTCCCATCTTACCGGGCATTGCAATGGTAGCGGGAGGAAGAAGAGGGTGGGAGGAAAGTCTTCAGTCTGCTCCCAGCAGAGCAGCAGAAAGAAACCAAAGCGGGGAAGACACAGGGGTGGCTCTAGGAAGGTGGACTGGCAAAGGGCTTACTACACTACCACTATTCTTACTCTGATCTTTGCCTTTTAAGTCCAAGGTCATTCAAAGAAAAACATCTCGTATCCAACAAAGCCATACAGATCCAGAACTGCGCAAATACCTAAAGTTTCTAAAACAAAGGAGGTCATCAGGATGTAAGCGCTGAACACCTGAGTTCATTTCCAAGCTGCAGGTATCTGAACAGCACCTAAGCACCCCACATAACCTAGGGAGAGACACAGGCATCTGCAGGCAAACAGTTCAGAGCAACAGATTAAATATCTACTACAGCCACATGAGTGCATCTCTAAAAGGCAGATTTTTTTTTCTCTGCACACATTTAAAATTTCATTCCGACAGCTGGACCTCATTACTGGCAGAGAGAGTGGGAAACGTCTGCTATGAAGTCAAGACAGTCGCACAAGGCACAGACGGCAGAGCAGAGGTCTCAGTGACACTCAGCCCGCACGCACCAGTGGGAAAGGCCTTTGCACTTCCCCAGCCAACCCATTAGCTCTCCACCTTTGGCACCAGCGTGAGTGCTGGAGATATTTAGGCAAAAATGCTCCTCAAACCCTCCAGGTACAGGAATACAGACTGTCATATCACTGTAAGCATCCCTACCTTCAGAGTAGGGGGCCATCTGACAGATGCCTTTCACTTCAGACTTTGAAGCACAAGCACATTTCTTCCCCTTCCAACCCCCCATAGAAGGTAAAATAAGAACCTATTTGTAACTGAGATAAAAAAAAAAATCTACTGCAAACCTGCTGCAAGCATCTCAGTGAGAAAGAGATAGGTCTACACATCTTTCGCTACATTTGTGTCTTACTGCAGACTAGAGCTTTACAAAAATAAAGAAATGAATAAAGTCTATTAAAGAGAAAGATCTATCTCTCAGCTCACTTTTAACCTTGAGGAGTCTCTGCTTTGCAAATGGATCTTGCAGAATTCAACGTTGATCAAGCTAAGCTCTGTGTAGTTCCCTGAAATAGGACACTTAAGTTTTACTACGCTTTTCCAAATAGATGCAAAAATTATCAGTTACGGACCAGCAAGGTTCTGTGGTTTTGTGACATAAGGACATCGCAGCTTGGTGTCTTCAGCTGAGCAAGGTAATCAGCTCAATATGACACAGGTGCTGTTTAACTTTAAATGAAGATGACTGGGTCAGTAACCAACTGCTTGGCTACAAGATCTAAAACTGGCATTTGACCATCTTGCTTGGCTGGGTTACAGTTGGTTCCTTACTACATGTGCTTCCTTTGGGGAATACCCAAATCTGAACCTCTGACTAGGAGAAAATGAAATTCTAATTTAAACTCTGGGCTTACCATCTGTGCATATACTTGGACTTTTGTTTTTATAAAAATACTGCCAGTTGTCAAGTCATCTGGCAAATAAAAACTCTGAATATACATTCCAGTTATTAATGGCATATTAATAAAGACCATAAAGATCATATACCAGGATAAACTCTTGACCAAGTCAGCTGTCAAACTGTTGTTTTCATAATACAGGTGGGTCTTTGCCAAACATGCCAAGTTAAACCAAGCTACAAAATAAGGAAAGGAATAATTTTTTCTTGTAATGGGGCCTGAGCAGGGCAGCACTTGCAGTACCTTTTAAGAAATAGATGTGAGTTAATACTGCAGTATCATGGCAACAAAACTCCTCCTCATAACTGTACAAATCATTGCTTCTTCTCAGTTTATCATCTCCTCAGGTGTGACAGGCAAAGGTAAACAAGAGCAGATCGTGACATAAAATGCACAGTACTGGGTTGTGTAACCACATGCCATGCTTATCATCCATTATCACTCTCTTCACAATAACAGAGAATTAAAGGGAGATTTTTAAAACTCATTAATTTAAAGGAAACATTCACAGTGAGAGTCTCCTAACTGCTTCCCAGGCAGGTTTAGTCTTCCAGTGCTATCCAGAGGAAGGCAGGCTCTGCCCAAATAAGTTCCTTGTCTTTGATGCTTAAGCAAAGAACACCAGCACCACTGAGTGTCAGAGCTCACAAACCTTTCTGTGAACACATAGCAGATGTAGCTCTACTCCTACCAAAGAGCTATGCTCTGCAAAGCCTCTCTGAATTAAGAAGTTCATGAAATCATTCCACAACTATCCAGAGGACTGAACATGCAGGCACATTTGCATTCTGCTGGCCTTTCTTGGGCACTATGCCTACAGCATGACTTACCCCATAAGAATGGCCCTGGAGTTTCTTATAAGCCCAAAGAGCACCAGCAAACATATCAAGACATGGAACAGCAGCAGGCCCAGGTATCCCAGCCACCTACAGTAAATAAAAAACAAACATCTCATTGGAAAAACAGGCTTTCCTTACTTTAGGTAAAAGCTAAGTACTACTGAATAATCCACTGACAGCTGGATATTTGCTGGCTTCCTCGAGTCAGTTCGTTTCCTAGAAGCCCAGTCCTGTTCTGATATAAAGGTGTATGCAGGCTGGATACCATCAGGGAAAAAAGTTTAACTTCTTGATCTTCCTAGATATTTGTTAGAAAACATCCAACCACAAATATAAAATAACTGAAACATTTTTATTGGTGGAATACACTCTGCAAATTTCTACTGAATAAGTTTAATAAAAAAAGGAATGTTAGGAGAGGTATTTAACACAAGGAAGCAAGTTTAGTGCCCTACTCTGTGTAGTTAACAAACTCCATAGGGGGTTTTCTCCAAGTAACAGAACACAGACAATAGACTTTTTGCACCAAGACTAAGTTTCTCTTCAGCTGGTGATGGATATAGTATAAAAAGGTAGTTGCTATGTATGTTCATTTAAATTTAATGCAGCTTTGCTCTATGAAATTAATCAGATGGGTGTGCATTCACAGTAATTAAAGAAGCCTTTGGCTCAGCCACCCAGAACACTCACTGCTGCAAAACACTGGCCACAGCAAAATAATAGATCTCCTGCACTATAATATGCTACACACCTGTACCAGTCATAGAGGTCAATCTGAATTGCCAGCTCCTCCAGAGACAGCTCTTCATTCTTCCAAAAAGGGATCTCAGTTGTTTGCCTGACCAGATCATCCAAGAGACCTTGCAGCTTCTGGATGATGTGCAGGTAGTCTGTCTGCTTTGCAAACATCTCCTCCAGGACTAGCAAGTTGGGTTCCACTGTTTGGTTCAGAGCCAATGCAGTATCTAGTACCTACAGTGCAATAGTTAAATACATAAATATATATATAAATACATATAAATATATATATATATGTTGGTGTTAAAGGAAGTCAGGAAAGTAAAAAGATGATTGATCCTTTCTAGTAAGCAGCCAACAGTTTATAGATTACTCTTCCTCTGTCTTAAGCATCTCGGATTGCTACACACACAATAACTATCATTTTTTAATCTTCTGCCTCTATCTTGACTAAATTAGTTTCAAATCCATCTTCCGTATCAAGATAGGTGACCCAAGAGAACAGCATAGACCTAGAACACAGCTACTAGGGCTGGGAATACAATTTCCATCCCCCTCTCCCACCCAAGATTCATTCACTTTAATCCTAAAAGAGATTATAAAAATGGCTACAATTAAGTGCTGTGGAGGACCACTGGTGTGGTCCTGGTACCACATTGCCTTCACTGTGGTACCAGTAGGTTACCACCTAGTGCTGTCTGGGTTGCAGAATGATGCCATGTGGCATCACAGCAACAGCAAATTTTGCTAAAGTGTTTTTCTTTACTAAGAGACTTCTCTGCTTTGGCCTCCCTCCATTTCCGGGTGCGGAGAAGAGCTAATCAGAAGCTGTTTTTTAAACTAAGCACAATTGCACAGAGAAGACTTCATCTAACAAGCTGTGTTTGCTTTGATATTTTTAGAAGAGCTGAAGAAAACAACACTCCCCTAATGGAAATTTTAGCACATGTCTGAGATCAGAGCCTAACAAAAAAAGGGCAGAGTACAAGCACAGTCTGAATCAAGAAAAGTGAGGTGCTAAGGTGCCAAATCAGCTCATTTGCCCACTCCCCACTTGCTAACATGTCTGCCCTTGTGCCTACCCGGTCTTGGACACCTGCCACGGTGCGGTTTGCGTGGCGGAGCGAGTACGTCAGCCGGTGAATACCATCGCTGGTCTCCCCATTCCCATAGAAGCCAACGGCAATTCCAGCACTGCAAGGAGAAAAGCAGGAAAGGGTAAAGTTAACCAATCTGTGAACATTCTCCCGTGCTTCCTGTGTAGCCATCAATTCTCTGCATAGCATCCATACGATGGACAAGACGCATCGCCTCTTCTTAATGAGTGCGTTACATTCGTGGTCCAGTAACGAAAATCTGCTGGAGAACTGTTAGAAAGTTCAGATTAAATCATGGGGCAAACAGGAATCCAGCCACCAAATTGTCCTACAAATGCTCCTCCAAGAGGAAGGAGAGCTACCATGGAGATGCCAGGGGTCTTACACCTCCTCTGGACATGGACTACTTTCACTCATTATATTTTTAAAAACAGGACACAAAGGGCTCACGTCGAGTACTTGCCCATTGTTGTGATTCCTCAACATCCATCACATATTCCATGCCCTCTTCCCTCCACTCTGAAACAGACAAGTATCATCTATCCTCCCACTAGTTTGTGCTGCACTAATTTAGAGTAGTGGTAAGCCAGGCTTAAACACTTACTGGGTCTTCTTACAGAAGGTTTATTTATTTTTAAAGTAAGTGAATTTCTAGCTCAGAGCCACAATTCAACTCCAGCTGCTTAGCAAATTACCACCTATCTGCTGATTTGCCCTAGCTGTCCACACATATCAATCTGTCCCAATTATGAAGTAAACCATATCAGCTTAAGCCTCACTTAAAGGAGGAAGATCCTGCAAATGAATAACAACCTGGAGATTATCTCATGCAAGTCAGCAACACCTCTTCTATTAAGGCATCGCCACAGGAAGGCACGGTTCCTCTTCCCAAGACCATTTTCCTTAATAAGAGAGGAGCAGAGAACTTGTTAAGGGGTCATACAACCAAAGTCAGGGCTAACAAACATCATCGAGATCCAAATTTCCTGTAGTTATCTATTATTTGACTGCAGAATAGCCAGAGTCTTTTCTAGGATGGTTCAAAACACCATGGCTGTCTGTGCATGGCAACAGAAAAGGGGTTGTTTGCAGGTGCTTTATTTTTTTTGTATAGAACTAAAGTTATTCTGGGTAACCCTCTAGTTTCTCCACAACAACCTTCTGCCTGGGTTGTAGCACTGCCCTTCCAGAGATACAATAAGAGGAAGGACACGAGCCAAAGGAGCTTGCAGAGCCAGTTCACGGAGAGCCTTTGCTTAACAGAAGGGTCACTGGAGGATACTGGGCTCCTTCCCCTTCAACCCCAGTCTCTCTCCGGGCAATCGATGCCAAGTAGACAGACCAGGCAGGGCTTTGTCTGGATAACAGCCCTTCCCAGGCTCTGCAAGGCCACCACGATACAGCCCAAATGACTATTTTGACTGTGGGTCCAGGCCCCTTTTCTCCTGGTCTCCTCCTCCACTTCAGCAAGACAGAGTAGAGTAACAGAGTTAACCTGGCTGTTTTTCTACTTTCTCCTCATACAAGCAGAAGTAGAAGCAAAAATCACACACTGGAAGCAGAGCAGTGACAAAAATCTGTGATGGTCTCTTGCTTTTTCCAACAATCAAATCTCCATAAGTTACAAAGCATGTTACCCATAAAAACCTCCACTGAAGAGTCTTCCACAGAAAGCAGCTATCCTACATCATAGGCAGAAAGCTAAATGTTGTTAAGAGTTGCAAGAATTCAGTCTTTCTTTGTGAATACTGTTCCTGAAAAGCATTTCCATAATAAATTCCAGGACATTCTTTACATGGAAGATGTGGATTTGATTCCTCCATTTTGTGGCGCATTTTTATTCAGCTTTTTACCGCTACAGAAAACCCTATTCTTTCAGCAAAGGCTTGGCAAGCACCCAAGATCTGCTGGTTGGCTCTCAGCATTCCCAGCACAGCAGCAGCAATGGGGTGGAAAAGGCTCAAACTGCACTCGGAGTGAAGTGGCAATAACCATTTTGTCCTTAGAAGGGAGATGCAGCCAGGTACGTAGCCCGGTTTGCTAAAGGGAACCATTTACCAAGTGCTACCAACTATGGGCAACCAACTCAAATCTCTCCTCCTGGGGTGGCAGGGCCATCACAGCAGTTGTCCTCATGGGCTTCCCATGCAACAGGATTATCACTGACCGCTTCAGCTGCCCGTAACCACCTTGGCACAGGCATCAATCCTAAGAGAAAATACTAACGTGACAGGATTCAAGACAAAAGCCCTTCAATTCAGCCAGCAACGTTCACAATTCCATATGTTTCCTGGGAACTGCACATAGTACTAATTATTCCCCTTACTGGCCAGCAGAACTTAGTTCCACATCTGTGTCCCATGCGGATAAGAACCACCTGCACAGCCCTTCACTCTCCTAGAAGCCAGTGCTAGAGGTTCCTGAGCTTCCCTTCCCTTCAGCCTGCTTGCATCTTGCTGCATACTGCTTGCAGATGCAGCATCTGCTTGCATCTGGCTTCACCTAAATCTAACAGTTGTTTCAAATCCCTGCCTGCACACCCTAGTAGGGTATAAGTTGCTATTGTTTAAAGCAGATTTAAGGATTTGGACTTGTTTTTAACTACCTTTTATTTGATTAAAGGGAAACAGCGGGGCTCTTTTTATTTAAACTTGCTCTTTCAAGCTAAAAATAGATTAACTCATCTTAACCTCGCAGTCTAAGTCCTTGAGGTCAGGACAAATCACATGGCTTCTCACACAAACCCTGCTAGGCTCTATGGGCTAAGATGCAGCAGGGCCATCTCCCAGCATATGATCGAGAGAGAGGAGATAGGAAAAAATATCATTGTGTGTGGGGACGCCTGCATTTCCATCACACACTGTGTGCACTAGAGCAGCATTCCCAAATGAAACTGCGTTTTCCACCCTAGCACCCTCTGAACGATACTCTAACACATTTCAGCATTTCTACAGGAAAGTCATCTGTACTTCTGCTATTCTTGTTTCTTCTCTCACACCCACACACACCTCTCCTCCTTCCTGTGCACCATCCCATCCCTGATTCTTCCTCCCCAACCTACTTTGGCCAGTCTCCTGTCCCTTTAGCTAACCACATTGCTCCCCAACCTTCTCCCTTGCTAATATTTTAAATGAGGGTTAATAATAATAATAATAATAATAATAATAATTCAACCTGTGCAGCCAGTGTGGCATGTTTAAAAAGTTGTTCTCGTTGCTCAGTTGACCCAATACTACATGGAAAAAGCAACTTGGCTGCTCAGCCGCTTTGGTGAGTTCAAGGAAACCTGAAAAGTCAAGGAAATTCTGCACTCCTGACATGAACACAACAGTTATTGGGGCACAAACACTGGGGAGAGATGGTGAACTTACACCAGCCCTTCAGAGAGGTGCATGGCCCAAGGGAGCAGCAGCACAGCACAACCTCGGCGTATCTACAGCGATACAACAGTAGGATTTCAAGCACTGTGTGGTGCATATGTGCACTTCACTATCATTTATTCAGCAGGATTCAACACAAATTTCCCTCTCTCTTCTCTTGAAAAGTTCACTATTGGATTTCACTGGATTTTCACACAGCTTTCACACTCTTCTTCTGCAAGGGTCATGCGGCTTAGGCCGAAGATGAAGAGTCAGAAATGCAGCAAATCAAGGCTAATTCCAAATTACCTTGCAATACCACCTGTGAAAACTGTTTTCTGCATTACAAGACACATACATCAATAGCAGAGGCATTATTCTCACTTAGAGAGTATATTCGTGCCTTCTGACACAGACTTTCTACTGTAACACACAGTAAAAACCCCCGTGGGTATCCAATCACCAGACTGAAAAGATGAACACTACCCATTCACATCACATCCTTGGAAATGAATAATCTAACTACACCAAGTCATCTTTAATTACAGGAACTTCATAAGGAGAGGCCTTTTTAGACTTTGTGTTCCTGGGAGGAATGTTAATTTGTCTGTCTAATTACCACCTTGCACTTTAGCACCAAGGGAAAGTGCTATTACTGGCACTTCAGAAAGCAGGCTTTCACCAGCCATTTGTACCCTTTTTTTTCAGGTATCCCCTCCATGAAACTTGTTATTCACCTTCAGAACTGAGCTGCTTTCTGGGGATTTTAGTGGCAACTATAGAGAATTGAGAATGAAATTACTTGTGAGACACAGATCAAAACTGGAAGGACCAGAGACAAACTTGGTAATCAAGGAGTAACCTACACGGTCATTCCTGTAGCTTTGTGGCTAAGGAGACTGGGAAACTCATTACAGATCCTATTTTGTAAGAGAATGCCTGTTAACTGGTTATGTCTCCCTGCTTGCTCAATATTTTCCCTTTTGCTCCTCAGGAAGTGTAGAGCTATTAGGAAATGGTGATCTACAGGGACAAAACCAGGACTCAGCAGCATCCACAGTACGAACAGTCATCTGGGATTAAGTACTACCTAGATAAGCATATATTAAGCTTGGCTAGACTTACCAGAGTTAACACTAGGAAGATGGTAGTTGGCATCCACTTCTACCTTATGACACCTGGACATCCCAGCTGTTTTTTTCAGACCTTTTATCACTTGGACATCCAAGCCACCTTGCTTCCCTGCATTGCACACAGCACTGCAAATTGCTCGCAGGCCAGCCTGCTGTTATGGGCTGACATTTAGAATAACCTTATTCCCTGTTACTCCAAAATACAGCAGCATCTGCCACTCTGGCACCTCTGTTATGTATAATGCAGCTAGGATAGCATATAGATAGTTGACTAATATTTTAGCTATTAGTATGTAACTGAGACTTGCTGTTAGTGCAGGTTAGAGTATGTGCTTACAGAAAGTCCTATCTGCTCCCAGGCCAGATACTGAACAGGGAGCACCAAGTGGCACCAGTTCGAATGCCCTGTTGTGTCCAGCTGCAGTGGGACAGCAGAAAACAGCTGTGGGCTTTAAATATTCATGCAATTGCCCAGTACATTCAGGTAGCATCTTAAAATTATGGATACTTCTCCATTTCATACCAGCAAAAATAAGCAGGATACAGCTGAATCAGACTTTGAGGAGTTTAAGCAATTCTCCAGCTTGTGGACAAGACCAGAACTTGCATCAAGTTCATCAGAATCTAAATGCTGGCCTTCAGACTTCAAGGTGCTTCCTGCATGCTGTGGGAGATGTGCAGAACACATTCTTCTCACCCTTCATACAATTTAAAACACACAAAACCCGCACGCTGCAGCAGCTGCTTTAGACACATCCCCAGTACAACAAGAGCTACCAAGAGCCTGCAGCAGCAGCACAGCTATAAACAGCATCAGTCAGAGCTTCTGCAAGGAAGGGTTAGGACCACAGCACTTTCAGTGGACTGGAATGGATGTAGCTGAAGCTCTTGAGATCACTAACAAGAAAAGTAACCGAAGCTGAAATTTCTTTTGAGTTGTTCTCTATTTTGCCTTTCTATTCCAGGAACTTACATGTGGCCAAGAGCTCTCTGCAAAGAAGGGTCTATTTGCCAATACACAAGCTCTCCTCCTCACCATTAGGCCCTGCCTCTCCAGTCAAAACCATCCCCAGGCTGCTAAATTCACAACAGAGAAATATCTGCTCCACTCTGCTGGTTTCAGCACCTCAGGGTTCTTCTATCCTTTTAAGCATGTGACTCAATAAAGCAAATATAAGGCGGCACAAACAGTGCAATCTAATCCTTGAACAACTAAGCCTGGCTGTCAAGGAATATGTTCTCCTCCAAAAAGGACACATCCCAAATCCATCACCTACCACAAAGAGAGGCATCGAGCCATGAGACACGACAAAGTGCTCTCATGTCCTCCTGAGCTCCTGTCAGGGAAGGAGAGTTCCTCGAGCTCATCCTAACATCTCTGCACCCTAATTACCACAGTTCTCTCAGGCTTCTTCATCACATTGCCCACTGTGGACTGGCTAAGCCACACCTCAGTCAGCCTGTTCAAAAATCACAGCAAAGGCTGAGCTAATTCCCCTATAGCAGCTTTGCACAGATGGCACACTTCTTTTTCCCCTTTATTTTAATCATATCTCTCCTCAAAGAGTTTTATCAAAGCAGAAACAAAGGTGATATTTGTTTGCTGTAGAACTGTGTATTTCCAGTCAACATCAACATGTCTTGTCTAAGACACCTGCCATCCCATTCTGCAGCATAGGAGACAAGACTCCAGGTTGTCCTAGTTGCCACCTCCGAGCATCAGTGGCTCTTTTACCCAAGAGCGGCAAAGCTCAATTTCAGGACATACATGTTGATTTTCATTAGTCCGTGGATCTCAGAGTACTAACTTTGCCCAAATCAAAACAAAGTCCAAGGCTCTTCTTAAAGGTCTGCAAACATTTTCCTTCTTTTGGTGGTCCTTTTGCTATCTTTCTATGACATGTGATGCTTGTCTGCATCGACCAAAGAAAAACAGAGTAAAACAAACACAAAACCTAAAATCTCTTCATTTTCTTCTGCCCGTATTCTATGATAATCACTTAACTTTTTGTGTTATTCAGCAGCACTTCTTTTCATCCCACCTCCATGAGTTCCTGTTGTTCAGTGATAACATGAAACGCTGACACTAGCAGCATTACTAGCAACCCTTGGGGACAGCACATTAGCACACATAATGAAACGTGTCTTACTGACTGCAAGCTCCACAGGTCCCTCTTTGGCCATATATGAACACTTCCCAAACAAAGAGCCTCTCTATAATTTACTCGTCCATGTATTTATTCCTTTTGGACACCAGATTCTAACAGATCTCATCTAGACCCGCTGAATTTTTGAACTGCATCCATCTTAGCTAAGAGACAAGCTCCAAAGACTCAAGAGTCCTTGGTTAACCACTTGCAAAGTATCAAAGACCAGGACATCAACTATTCCTTTTCATACTGCACAAACCACTTGGTGGTTCAGTAAGTTGCGGAAAGGAAGAAAATACACTGCAAATACTTAAAATATGTATAGAGTAGGAAGGGATTTACTAGGTACAAACACAGCATATGAAGTACAAAATACAAGCACAGGATACAGCACCCTGAGCAAGAGGCAAGGTGCTTTTTGGGCAGCAACCTTACCTGCATACGAGGGTGGCGATGATGACACACCAGGCTGTACAGCAGCAGTCAGCATTTAAATGCTCTTCGCTCTTCCGATGGCGGCAGCACAGCCAGAAGGAGTAGAAGAGTAGGAAGAGGAGGTCTAGAGCGAGGCAGGAGAGCGCAATGCCACCCAACAGCAACAGGGCCTGGGGAAGGAAAACACACCACTGTCACATTTGACCACATTGCACCCATAGAAGAGGGACCCAAACGCTTGAGGGCTTTGCAGTGAGTCCGTCCTGAAGCCCAAGCTTGGAAAAAGCTTGAGATTTTTAGCCTTTAGTGGGGGATACTGTCCCTTTCTCCCCATCTGTCCCCTTATACAAAACCAGCTTCTGCATCTAAACCATGAACAGTTGAGACTTTTCGTCCACCCAAGACATGAACAGCCTAAATGAATCAGGGAGGGGTTCCCCTCTACTTCAGACCAGAGGTCAGCAGATTTAGAGAGAAAAGGGAAAAAAAAAAAATCAGCCAGCTGCCTCTGTCTGTTCTGTTCTTTAATCTTCATGAATAAATATGCAGGCTTATTCATTAGAAACCCAAGTGCATGAGTGGGTTTGAAAGGAGGTGGAATTTATTATACATGTGTGAGATTGATTTTTTTAAAAAATCAATCCCCATGCAAAGCTTCTATTCTAGGTAGGCCTAGAATAAATGGTAAATCCCTTATATACCAAGCATATATATAGATAGACCAAAACTAACAGCAAATGCTACAGACACACTGGGTTGAAGTGGTCACAAGCTTAGTTATCTTATTACATCTGTTTCTATTCAGATGTTCCCTGGGAGGAAAGGGAAGCAATAAGTGTTAAAGTACATTCCAGTTCCATTTAACTCCATTCCAATTTCTTTTCACTCAGAAAATCCTGGCCAAAAACCAAAAGAGTAAATCAATTTTGTTCCCCTCAAAAAAAACCCAGCATCTAATCCAAATCCAGGCATTCTTTGCCATGTGAATGAAGAATATTGCTTTATCCATCAACTCTTCAGGGTACAGACTGGCTAGCAGTGACAAACGACAGCTTATTAAAAATGGCTTAACTATCTGCAAAGGGCCTAAATCACCTCTTGCTGTCTCAATATTGCAAAGGCAATTAGACCTGTACGAGCAAAGGTAAAACAAACATTTGGGGTTCCTCCTCTTTTCCCTTTTTTATTCCATATCTTTCCTCCTCCCCATGCAGAGAGACCTCCGTAGCACTTAAAACATTCCCTCCTCATGCGAGGAATGAACTTGCCAAAGGACCAAAACACCAAATGCCGTGGATAAAACCCTGGAAGATGCTCGATGGAGGCAGCAAACGCTTCCCGTGGGACCTGGCAGTAACTCCCCCCTCGTGGGCTCTCCCGCTCCCTTAGCCCTCTTGGTGGAACAGCTACTCCCTGTGGTAACAAGGCCATTTCGTGGCCTTAGGAGACCTACTTGTAGCTCCCGGAGGCTGGGGAGAAGGAGGCTGCTTTCCAGGTACGGCTTTTTAAGCTCAACAGCACAACCCCAGCCTTGCGGGAAGGGAGAGCTGCAAGTTTTAAGCGGGGAATTGCTGGGGTGGAAGGGAAGCAGCGCGACCCCCCTTTCCCATGGCGGGGCCAGATGGTGCGCGCGCTGCTCGAGTTCCTCGGCAGAGAGAGGCCTGCGAGAGGGAAGCTGCATTCGGAGACCGAACCCGCGCTGCTGCCGGCCTGCCGTGAACCAGCACTCCCTGCTCATTTAACCAACACATTCTGCACGGGAGGCTCCTTGGGGATGCTCCTTATTTTCCGAGTGTGTCGGGCTGCCGCAAGGCGAAGCTTCGTGCGCCGCCTGCCTGCGCCCCTTGCTTCACAGCCGCAACCCTCCCGCGCTCAGTACGAGCCATCACCTCAGGACGGGGGCCGCCAGCTGAGAAGAGCCCCCCATCCACTCCTCAGCAAGGAAAAAAACACCCTGCAGCTCCTGATGCCAGTGAACATTCCCCATAAAAAAAAAAAAAAAGGAAAACTAAATAAACCCACCACCATCACAAACACACTGCCATGCACCAGATAGCTGAAGGGACACTTCGATGTATGTTTTAATTCCAGCATTTAGCCAAAAGGACTTGGCTGGCTAATACACCGAGATCTGTGTTTCATTTTCCAAAGAATATTTGTTTTCCATTAATGGATATGAGCCATGACAACAAGTGAAATCATCCAGCAGAGGAGATATTAATCTTTCTGACTGATGACTCAGTTCAGGACGCAGAGACTGGCTGGCAGTGAAAGCCCAGTTGCAACCAAAGATACGTCTGTGCCTGCTTGTCGGGATTAAATGACAGTATTTAAAAAAGGGGGTTGAGGCTGGATGAAATCCTCTGACATTTTATCCTGCCACACTAAATCTGGGACTCAGTTATCCAAGGCCACGCTATCCCGAGTAAATGTAAAATTATGTACTGGGCCTTTTGCCATAAAAGAGCATCAATTCGTCTTCCAGCATTTGCTGAACTATCAGAACCTTTACAGCAAATGATGCATGAACTAGACTTACAGGGAAAGGGAGACAACTTGGAGGAGCAACATTTTACCACTGTGCTGACACTAATGGGGGAAGCGGAGACAGAGCAGTCCCCGAAAATGAGCGTAAATCCAAGTGGTTTCAGCCAGAGTGGCAGGACTCGAAGCTAGTGCTAAAATTCACTTTCAAAATAAAAGTTAACTGCAGTATGCAGGGAAATAACAGCGCATAGCACTGCTAGCTTGGAAAGGCACCTGAAAATACTCCATCTGCCTTGCACGGGGCTCTGCTTGGCAGCATTAAGAGCCTTTCCCGACTCCAGCGTGGCTGCCAGGATTCCCAGCAGCGATAGGAAACAAAGCAAGAAGCAGGAAACAGCTGGATCCCCACGCGCAAAAAGGAGGCACCGTGAGCAAATAAGCTCGGGACATGGCAAAAACAGCTGCCCACAAACACCCAGGGGCTGGTTAGCGCTGGTCAGGCATTCCCAGCAGCTCTCACACAGTGTAAGGATTATATCCAAGAAATCATATATGCAGGTCAGATCATCATTCTTAGTCTCTGATACCATTCATGAATTAGTAAGGCCTTACGCTATTGTAGATTGACTCAATCAATGCACAGCCGTGTCCATAGGAGGAGAAATCTCCACACAAAACTGTTGATTTCAGCTCTTTTAGATTACTGGTTCCCAAACGTGATTCATGGCACTAGTTACCCAAATATACCTCTGATCACCGCAATCCTGAGGCTAATTTTAGCTACTGAAGCTGCAATTAAGACTAAAATCCACAAATATACCTCATCCCATTCGTCCTCAGTAGGAAGTGCCCCCACATAAGAAACTCTCCTTGCAATCGCAGTCACAAAGGAGAAAAATGGTCTACCTAATGACATGAGGAAAGAGGTAGAGAAGATATATTTGAATAAGTTTCCTCGTGAGGGAATGCCTAAAGAAATAGTGCATCGTGCTGAAGGAGGGCAGTGCTGGACTGCACTCATGGGCAGTGAGTGAGGTTTCACATTGCGTTAAGTGCTCTGTGTTCCTACCGGATGGTACCAAGGAGCGTTGGCTTCAGGGACGTGTCCTCCTCACACCACCAGTTGCCCTCTGCCATGACATCCACTCAGCACAAGAAGTCCTGGCGCTCAGGACAGCTGTAGAACGTTAACCTTGAATACACACGAGCTCAGAAGGAGCCACGTGTTTATTGACTACAAGTTTTGCCAGCCTGGAGCTATCAAACTGCCAATTATCACACTTCTTGGACCTTAACGGTACTCAGAACAGCATGGCAGAGCAGCAAACAGCTATTCACACAGAAAACCTGGCAGCTATTTCTGAATAGCACTGCTATTTTAGTACTAGTTGGAACGTCCACCTCATGAACTCGTTGGAACGAAAACTCATGAAGAAAGGAGCAAAGCTGAAGGCCGTCAGATAGTTCCTTAAAAGCAAAATCTTACACTTTTCATCTTCTATTAATAATTTAAAAGTTATTTTAACTTCAGCACAGTAATTTCAGCCCACAGGACAAAATATAAGACTCTAACCACTATAGCTTTTGAGCATCTGAGCACAGCTGGCTTAATCATTGCCAGACTATGAACTGTTTATCATTTTACCTTGAAAGTTAGCTTTTGCCAAAAGAAAGCTTTCCACTCAATCTGCAACTAATGTTCCTTCTGGATTTCCATGCAGTGACTTGAGAATGCAATAATAAAACACAGAGAAGAGGTTAAAGGAGTGTGGGAAGAGGGAAACGTTCACCCAGAAGAACAAATGAAGCAAACTGGGCTGCTGCCAAAGGAGCTCTTATATCTATTTATTCCATGAAGGACTGAAGTCTTCTTAGCAAGAAAAGAAACTGCTGTGCACTGAAGTCCTCCCTGCAGTATTTTCTACACCTTTTTTGCAAAGCCTGGAACATTTAAGCAGCTCGTGGACTCATAGATGGCAAGTAATTACACCCTATCAATTGGATCGCTCTTTAAGTCTGGCAACATGAAAACAATCTGACCCTTCATGAGCTTGTTCTGAATGTGCTGTGTGTCCAGAGATCCAATTTTTCTCTCCCTCCCCCTGCCAGCGAGTGGGGCTTCATGGAGGAGAGCGGGATCACTCTATGTCTCGGGATGTCACTCATCCCACAGGCACTGCAGGCGGTTGCGGACTCCGTTAGGGAGCGCAGCCAGCCACGTATTGGCAAATCTAAACAGAAAGAGGGGAGAAGGGGGAGAAAAAAGGAGGGGGGAAAGGATGTGGAAACCACCGCCTGATCTCAGCACTAAACCGTCCGTATCTCCTCAGCCTGGGGGACAGGCCTTCCCAGGCCAATAACACTATTCAACACAGCAGAGAAGTAAGGCTGGGCAGGAAACGTGTTGTGGAAGAGCCTTTTCCCACGGCACCAAGATGTATCCTCCTTTGTTAAGGATCCCTCGGCACCATGGAAACAGCAGGCAGGTTCCATGGCTGCATCTCCTCGCAGGCATCTCCCTAAGAAAGCAGCCTGCAAGGAAGTGCAGTAGATGGTACGCAGATGTATCAAGAGCGAGTCCACACTGGAGGAGGGAGGTTGGCCAATGTTTTGTCCTTAGCTGCCTTAGGCTATTGACAGTGTTACTGGAAAATGCCAAGGATTATGTCATCATTATTTATTT